TATGAAGAAATGATGGCAGTAACTGCAATTGTAAAGGACGTCAAGAGTCGATGGCGGGCAGCTCGAGGTGAATGGACGACAGGGGTCTTAAGCGGGCACGGCGCGATAGTCTTTGTTTTTCTGACTTGTTTTTTTCTTTCTCGATCTCTGTGAAAAGTCGTCTGTAGCATCGTTCACCGTCGAAGATTTGAGGGTCTTGTTTCTTTTTCTTCATTCCGGGGAAACACCAGCTGGGTCTCAAGGCTTTGGAGGCGTTGTCGAGGAAAGAGACACGGGCAATTGAGGTAGGTACCAATATTCGTACCTACTGGTGTTCGTACCAGAGGAAGGTACGAAGACCACAGCAAGAGAATGGAAGGATCGACTGGGGTTCCCGAGGTACCTTCCCGACGCCTCCGTACTTGCACTTGCAACAACATACATTTCCAGACGGGATCCACTCCGAGATATCCACAGACAGGTACAGATACTGCAGCGGTACATGACCTCGTGGCTGCAACCAAAAGTTAGGTATGATTCTCCCGCGGCCCCAGCAGCCCAGCACACTCGCGCATCGTCACCCAATGTGCCCATCCATCCACTTGGGCGCTGCTGCTTCACTGGTGCTTCAATGGCAGGTGCAGGTGGTAGACGGAGGTGTACCGCCGAGACTGAAGTGAGGGCAGGAACCAACGATTCGATAACCTCCTTCCGTTCCTCCCGTCTCTTCCATTGATCCTATCGTCCGCCTCAAATCACTTCCGTACCTTGCGGAATAATTCTACCAATCCTCCCTCACCTTCTGTCCTCTCCCACGCGCGTCTTCACTCTCATTGGTTTCCTTCAACACTAGCAGTCATCTAGCCGGGATGTGCGTTCTGGTCTCCCTTCAGCCAACCCAATTCTCAACTTACCGGAACTTGGATGTTGTCTGCCAGTTAACCACCCGGTCGCCTATGCGGATGCCTCTACTGCGCCCTCGAATATGTCTGAGTGATGTCAGAGTCTCCGAAGAGCCTGGCATAGAGATACAAACGCCGGCCGTGACTCTCTGTGTGGAAGCCCCAAGTAAAGTAGACTAGCGGTAGACTGATCAGTGGTCACAGTCACACTCCTCGACGATGGGACACTGCAGCAAACAGTCAAGTGACAGCGCAAGCTACTGGACCCATTTGGATCCTCATGAGACCCGCACCAGCTGCAGCATGGGAAGGTCAGGTACGGCCGTCCGTCCGTGACTCCATTTGAAGGATGGCGAGGCGACCTACCACAGTAGAACGTCTGCACAGCACATGGGCTTCCCCTCATCACACCTAGCCGCTGCATCTCAATGACTGCTACGTACACAACCGCATTCCGCCATGACACCGAAGACGGCCCAGGTCAATCTGGATGAACTTGGCTGAAGTCGAATTGGTCGGCTTGGTCGGAAAACCCTTACTTCTCTACTCCCGTTCGTTGAACCCTCAAGAACCGTTCAGCCAGCAGCGATCGCGCCGGTCAATTTGGACGGATGCGGACATGGCGTGGGTGGTGCCAGTGGTATGGCCCTCTTCACATTCCATCTAGAAGGAAGGGTGTTCCCACTCAGGCACACGCACCAGTTGCAGCGCGGTCGACGTTGCGTGCAACGAATTCTATCGGTCACCAGCTGCCGGCCACGTTCCAGCCGCAAGAGGTCGAGCAAAGGAGAATACCGACCTGGCGACGCCAGCCAGCGGCACCACCAGTGGCGGACGGGGTTTCAGCCCGCCTTACCTTCCCATGCCATGCCAGCGAAGCAGAACAAGATGCAGAGAAGCCTTCTGGATACCCAGTCATGCCAGTCTGGCGTCGTCTTCCTGACTCGCCTATCTCCTGTCGTTGATTCTTACTTCTGACCGCCATGGAACAGCACGGCAACTACTCAAGAGGCATATTCTGTACTCAAACCTTCAAACCCATCCGACGGCTTCTTCCCCGGGACGTCGAAACCAGTATCCGTTGTCAATGGAATCCATCAAGCGAGCGACACTTGCCTCTACTCAAGGTCCGACAGGGGGTGCACTAGCCGCTACTGGCCCAGTGCGCTCACCATCACCATTGTCGCAACATGGAACCTGTGTATCCATCAAGTAAGGACAGGCCGCGTTCTGCAGTCGAGGTACCGGCTTGGTACTCAGCCCACCGAGGAGGAACTGCAGGGCAGCACCACCACAACAGGACGAGACAGGAGACCATCTTTCACCCAAGGATAGCGCCGAATGGTAGCACGGGAGTGGACCGGTTTCGTCCCTGCAAAAACAATTTACGGTATTGCTAATCGTGGGAGCAAGTCACTCTACCAAAAGCACCAACTTCGTCGTTCTGGTTTCCCAGTCACCGCTGGTGATGTATGAGCACAATGGTGAGAACATCTTCGTCGCAATATCCAGCATGACCCGTTCGCGGGCGCAGATATATCCGTACCTCTTCAAACGGGATGAGATGTCTTGCAGACAGATGCAGCAGCGCAAGGGCGATGGATGGCGGCGGACCGAAAGTTGAGGTATTGAACATGTAACAATGTTACAGTTGAGACGGCGAGAGCTACGTTCGGGTGGCAGATCCACTAGCTACGGTCGAGCTGGGACTGGGCTGGGCCGGACAAAGCGGTTTTGCCCTTGATTGCCCGCCAATCCAGTCCTTGTTAAGGTTCGCGGCCGTGTGTCAAGTTTGGACGGATTGCCCTTCGTTCAAACAACTGGAAGCCGAAGCAATACGTCGGGCTGTTATGATTGCAGAGAATAACTCGACGGAACATTTGGTACCCACCTCCGGTCCCGAACAGGCGGACGGCCGCATTGCTGTTTCTTTTCCCTCTAGAAGAGAAACATGAAGCAAAGACATCGACGAGCAAGACAAGAACGGCATGGGCTGCTGGAAACGATGGGACAAAGGCAGGCCAACACAGACGAGGTTTGCCACATGCTGCCTGCTCCCGTTTCCGTTTCCCGTTGAGCATCCACCAGCGCATGCCCCTTGGTTTTCTTCTCATCAATCTTATCATAACAGCAAAATGAAAGCGATGGAGTCATGGAGACAGAGAGACAGGAAGGACAAGGGGTAGCGACTGGGAATATGGAACTTTTCGCAAGAGTGGGAACAAGACGGAGAGGTGAGTGAGTCGGCGGGCCCAATCACCGAATGACAGGGGAACGAACTATGGGATTCGAAAGGGAAAAGTCAAGGCCAAAAATATCCATAGAGATACCACCTCCCTACTCGGTGACAGCACTGACAAAATTCAAGTCATCCTTTTCCGGTACGATGCGGATGAGAGGATGGTCCGGTTGCCTGCTGTGCAACGGATTTCCTGGCTGTTCGTCTCACCATTTGGGCTGATTAGCTTTTGTTTTACAGTTTCTTTTCATCTATTACGGTTTCTTCATGTCCTTTGCTCTAGTTGTCAATGTCATCCTGTGAAAGTGGACGTGGGTGGGCCTGGACCCCGTGACTCGGAGAACAAGCATATCTTAGTAATTGGATGATTAGGGATACGGATAGACAATAGACTATTCGTAAAGAGGGAGGAGGCAGGTGAAAAAGAGGCTCAGAGGGATACGGTGAAGGTTAAATGGATTATGGAACGAGGTGAGGGACCGCCCGCTATCGGATGCTATGCCGGGCTGGGCCCCCGGCCGGAAGTTGTCATGTAAACCTCGCCCATGCCCAATGCTTTTCGAAATTCTCCATAGGTTATTACACAGTACGCGCGGGTCGGGTTGGGTAACTTGGGGGGGTGTCTGGCTTTATTATTGCCCACCTCGTCTTGACTTCTCGCATTATCGCGCGCAAGTGGTGCTTTTGCCTCTGTGTTGTCTCGCGGCCACCGTTCGAATGTCTTCGCCCTTTGGCTTCCTTCTGCCCCCATGTGGCACCACGGCTGCGTGAGTGTGACTGGCCTTGACTGATCCAGTGCCAACTTATGGAGTACTGCGTACAATCACATCTCATACGAAGCAGGATGCCAAGCACCGTCTTACCCAGTCGATTGTCTTACTCCATCAGGCCTCACCTCGGTCTTCCATTCTAGGTTTCCCCTCTGGTTTCCCCCTCCAAAGCTGGCTGAGGTGGGCTGGGCCGACATCAAGCGTCCATGTCTTTGGCGGCAAATGCGCAGAACAGAACAGAAACTGAACGTACAAAGCAGGGCAGCACAGACTCAATGATTTGGGGTTACGTCTTTTACCTTGACCTCGTCACTTTGTACTTTTCTTCATCTCATCTGGCTCACTCTACGCCTACGTATACGTTGCTTTCCTAAGATGGAAGTCTTCAGTCATCATGGCACGAATATAGCATGCGTACTGACTGGACTGGAGTGGCCGCCTTGGTTTTCTGACTTTCTGTACGAATACTGCGTAGGCCTCAAGGCTCAAGGTACATACAGCAACACCGACGGTCCCCTTGGTTGATTTCGCACACCCCGACCACCCCTGTCGCTTCGGCCAAAAAGGTCAGAGGTACAAGAAGTACAGGCACCAGGCGTCCGCCAGAGTGACCAGACCCCCGGCCACGGTCGTTGGTCCAGCCAGTCAGAGCATCCGCTTGCCCTTGAGATCGTACCCATTGTGGGTCCCCTTCTTCCTCTTCTGCTCAGTCACTCCCTCCCCCGTCCCCTCCCTCCTTCGCTCTGGAGACTGAGCCGATGAACTCAGCAAAGTACACGCCAAGTACCCGTTATTGGCCAGGCGTGACACCCTGTCTCGCATGGGGGTGGGTACACAGTCAGGTACATGTCACCGCAGACAGCCACAGCGGTCGCTGCAGTAAACCCCGATTGCTCCAGCGGTCTCTAGCGGTCTCTCCAGCGAGCTTTCAGTTCAACCCACCATCGTTCCCAAAGTACCTGCTCTTGTACCCGCACTAATTACTACCGGTGGGTGGCCCTGCTGCGGTCCGGCCTGCCTGGGCTCTCTCTCTCCCACTCCTCAGTCCCTCTGCTCACTCCAAGTCCCACGCCCACGGCCCATTTGTCTTTTGGCTGGGGACCTGGGCTGGGCTGACTGGCTGTGCAGCCTGTGCTTCCTTTCCGCTGCTCTCCTCTTGTCCCCGATCTCGACTTCCTTCCCTTTACTCTCACCTTCACCTCCTCCTCACCCTGTTGTCTACAAGGCTTCTCTCTCGCTTGTTTACCTACTGTGGTGAATCATTCTTTATATCCATTCTTCAGACGAAAAGGGCAAACCTCGAGCCTCAAACCCCAGCGCCCCGTCCTCGTCCATTCACTTCTTGCGAAGCCGGAAGAATCCACATTCAACCTCGCCATGGCAATGTGACGTCCTGCCGACCCGCCCCATAATCCGCCTGCGAGAATAATAGACGCAACTCAACCACCAAAACTCAACAACAGCCCCCTTTTGTCCGCCGATACCCGACTCGATATTCGACTCTACACTTATTCAACTCTCAGTTCTACTCGAAATATTTGCTCGCAAGGCGAAAACTGAGCCGGAGCATGCGAGGTGCAACCGACCGTTAACACAGCCGATTCGCGTGATCCGAGAGAGCGAGCGAGAGAGAAAGAACCAAAATGCCTTCTTCACTCAAGGTTCCGGAATCCGGCCTCATTCTTGAGAGCTCGGCCGCCTCGGGAAACCCTGTCCCACCACAGGCTTTCTGCATCAATCTTTCTGACCATGTACTCGAGGACATGATCAAGTGTGTACAGGGTGGTGAGGACCTCCAATTGTCCTTGGGGAGCAGCCCGGTAAGTCCTACGCAACGCTCTTCTTTGCCCATTTCCTTGAACCCCCCTCGAACAATTCATTTGTCCTCCCGACGGGAAGAGCTGGCAGCTGTACCTGTATGCAAGGCGAAAAAAGCAGTGCACCGCTGCCCGTCTGGGACATCTGCTGCTGTCCGATGCCTACACAAACGAATTCCGCCCGCTAGCGGAAGCGCTGTTCGTTGACAGATACTAATGCTTTCTCGCTACCAAGACGTTGCTCTACGGCTCCAGTTCCCACACCCTCTCTCCCATCTCCGCGACATTCTCACACGACCTCTTCCTCACGAAACCATTCGAATCAACGAAACGAGCTACACGACTACCACAAACCTCCTCACTATGGAAGAAGCTGCCCGGCTCCGAGGCTCCCAAGAAGGGCGAGCAGGCCAAGGCCAAGGGTGCACCTTCAACCTCGTCGTCCGGGATGGACTCAGATATAGAGAATCTGCAGAACTCCATCGCAGCGGCGACGGCATCGAAGAAGCAGTATGTTGACAGTGGCTGGGTCATGGTGGTCATGACACAACTAACGAGGGTAATAGATCAAAGGTCATGGATAGGCCGCTGCCGGGCACCAACAAGAAGCCCACGGCAAAGGGTGCCAAGTCCAAGTTGCTGTCGAGCATGGCGTCATACGGCAATGGTGGCGGCAAGTCATCGCCCTCAGGGTCACCGGCTCTGGTAGCCGTCAGCTCACCGTCGATAAATCCTGTCTACGCTTCGTCGCAACAGATCGTCGAGAAGTCCAAGGAGCAAAGATCTATGATTGTACATGAACTAGCGGTGCAGGAGCGGCCGGCCGACTACCTGGAGAGCCTATGGGAAGGCAAAGACGAAGATTTCAAGCCTGCCCTGGAGAAGGTGGCCCAGTTCGAGCCGGACACGCAGATGTGGGCACTGAGAAAGAACTACTGGAGAGAGTTGGACGTGTGGAAGTACGAATATGATACCCAAGATACCCGACAGAAAGCGATCGACAACGCAATCCGTCAATTCGATAAGATGCGGCTGGCAACTACGGAAACCGAGTGGCAGAAGCTCTTGCCGCGGGAAGAGCGAGGAAAGGGCAAGATCCTCAGCAAGTTGCAGGCAAATATCGCCAAGGCTTCCGCCGCACCGCCTCCCAAGATCAAGGTCAGCGATGCGACAAGCGACAACGGCGAGGAAGACGTCCTCAAGATGAAAGGCGGCGAGACAATGTCACGATCATCATCGAATCCGTTGCCGCCGAAACCGAAGAAGGCTGCCGACTCTCAGGTTAAGCGTCTCTTGTCTACGAATAAGAAGCCCGCGACGCCCAAGGCTGCGCCGACGAAAGCAAAGGAAAAAGCAGCCCCAGCTGGCAAGAACGGCCGGGTTCTCTCTGCAGAGTTTGTCACCAACTCAGACTCGGATTCAGAGTCTTCAGAGGACAAGCCGATGGCGAGCATTGTGGCTTCCAAGCCTAGGCCAGCGCCTGCACCTGCACCTGCCCCCAAGAGAAGGATCGAACATGCACTCCCACCAAAGCCGAAGATTGCTGTGCCCAAGGCAAAAGCCAGGCCAGTTGAGAAGCCTGTAGAGCGGACTGTGGAGAGATCAATTGAGAGGCCCAAGGAAAAGTCGCCTCAACCTCCACGAGAGACTGTCAAGGCGGCCAAACCACAGCCTCCCAAGCGACAGAGGGAAGAGGAGGCAGACGACAGCAGCTCAAGTTCTGGCGCCCCCTTGGCCAAGCGCGCTAAGCCCAAGGCGCCCATCAAGGCGCCCGTCAGCCTCAAGCAACGGCCCGCAGAACCCTCACATGCATCATCCCGCAACTCATCTGGCGTCTCCCTCAAGAGCAAAAATACATCACCGGCCAAGTCGTCGCCTTTGGCTTCGTCACCGCCAACGAACGCATCGGATCTTGAACACTCAGCACCACCCAAGAAGCGCAAGGCTATGGAATCTTCCGACTCCAATGAGAGCGCCCGGACCAAGCAAGCCCCTAAGCGTCAGCGCGGGCTCAGCCCCGACCTGGTCAGCAAAGCCGCGCGTTTCAAGGTGTTCTATGAAAAGTATGAGGCTCTGCACTGGGAGATTGCAGACATGCGCAACCCACCCGAGGACAAGATGGCGGATCTCCTCGACATGCGCCAGCGGCTGAAAACTCTCAAGATTGAGATTTACAAGGAATGCCCGCCCCCAAACAGCGTCCCCAGCAGCGCCCCCATCGCGGTCGCTTAGGGAGGGACCAAGAAGGACAATTGCAAACTGCTTGAACGGCCGCTTGCCAAGAGCAACGTATCGACGAAGAAGACGGCGAAAGAAGCCCCAGCCAAAAAGGCGAAGGCGCAGAAACGTGTTTTGGGATTTCTTTGGAAAAAGCGATAATTTTTCGGGACATCTCAAGAGAGTCCTCGACTGGACGGCCACTTGAAAGCATCAGCAACAGCGAAATGATTTTCTCACCTTTTTTCTTTTCTTTTCACTTGGGCTGGGATTGCATCACAGGGGACGGAACGGGCATCGGCGACCAGCATATAGGATTGCATGGACTCTGGAAAAAAAAAACCCCAGCCAACTGGTAAACCGTGGATGCGGGCCAGGAATATTTCCTTTTGGAGATAGTCACTTTCTTGTCTTCTTCATTTTGATTGATACCAGGTGGTAGTCAGCTACACGAAACAGAACAGTATCCAAATGAAAGTCATCTGAACGATTACATTGCCTACCTCTAACTGATGAATTTGAATTGCGGCGACTGGTCCTGGTGATACCCCCCAACTTTCGTCGACAGCAGTGATGATGCGGTGTATCCTTACGAATGCTGAGGAACGAGGCGGCGTTTGTCCATACAGGGTGTCAACGTCATGACGGGACCCCCGCCCCCTGGCTGCAGACCTGCAAATCCTTGGCTGTTTGTCCTGTCGAAAACGGCCGTGCGCCTACTCCTTCATCTCTCCTCCATTTTCTGCATAATACGGGGCCGGGTATCCGTACAGATACATACTTTTGGCACGCGACGATTGCCAGGCTGGTGCTTGTCATGATTGAGAGACCTACATTTTGAGGAGGAAGAAAATGATCGATGTGATCATTTGCGAAGTTTTCTGATCTAATCTTGCACCGTGACATGAAGTGGCTTCCCAAAATATCCCATCCGTTGTTCCGCAGGACCAGCGGTAGTTTCCGCTTGGGAGGGAGGTTACGACCCCACTAGAGCTCCCCGCAATTCATTAAAATGGGTATTGGGAAATTTGTTCTCGGGGTTTGGGTGGGCAAAGCAAGAAAGAAGAAGATATGTCAGCGGAGATGGATTGTTCTAGTATTTCTGCTTGTTTTCTTTTCGTTCTTGGGAATCAGGGTGATAGAAAGCCTAGAGACGAGCGAGTGCTTTGGGGGAGGGGGTCCTGGCTTTTGGTAATGAGATTGGTTTCCTAGGTACACAGTAGGTAGGTAGGTAAACTTACTTACGTGAGCATCTTCGTTCCTCGTCGCTTCAAACCTCAGAATTATTCATGTTTCTTTGCGTAGGAGAACATGTCCATGAGCTGCGTACGAGGTTCTCAAGTTTCAATGCCACAACTTTTGATCCAGATCTCGTTGAAGATGGGGATGGAGAGGGGGATCCAAGAACCTCACACCTACACACGCATGTCTCTCAATTTTGTCATTTGTTCCTTTCTCTTTCTTTCTTTCTTCTTTCTCGCTATCCAGATCTAGTCTTCCCTGCAGACAAACAAGCAAAGCCAAATGACAGATTGGATTTTGCCCCATAAAGAGTTTACTCAGAAAATGAATTATCTGTAAGGCACCTTATGTGCAAACTTGGTTGGTTTGCTTTGCCCACCTGCATCCTGTGATCCTGTCCTGCAGCAGGCAGGACTCCCCAATGAAGAAAGTCAAAACCTTTGGAAAGAAAAAAAGCAAACTAACATCGGGATGTACGCCACCAAAGGCACCAGTGACCCTTTCCCCATGGAACGCTGTATCCGAGGTTTTTTGTCCAGCAAAGAGAAATGGAAAAGCTTGAATGGGCGGGCTTATTCCTCTGCGATCCACCGATGTGTTGGCAGGCTGACGGGTATGGAGTCACAGACTTACCTTTCCTCTCCGTACCTACAAGTCACATTTCTACTTAGTGTACTCCGTAATAGCGGGGGGGACCGGAAGGTGTGGAAGGTGGAGGAGGAGTCCCGGGTTTGCCAAGCTAATGCTCCAGCCTCCAGAACCCCCACACATACGCCGGCGGCTCCCGGCCCGCCCGCCGTTGGTTTACTATTTAGCCTTTCCCGGGGTCGGGGGTTGTCTGTTTTGTTTTGTTTGGAGGTGTGGCGGTTGCCACCCGGTGTCCGATGTTGCAATGTCACGTAAACTTTACTTGGGAGATCCCACGTCATCCTTGGTCGGCTAGGCCGCTGCTGATATGCAACGCTCAAAAACGGAAAAAGGCAGGCTTTGATGAGATGGGATGGACCATTGAACTGGCAAGAGAGGTAATCATGAAAGATGCAAGGATGGAAGAGTTGAGAGAGACTGCCCCCTATTCTCGTGCAGGCGTACAGCGAGATGGGGCCTGTCCGTTTGGGAAAGAAAAAGGTCTCGATTCTATGTGATTTCTGCTGATTGTCAAGTTTTGACGAAAGAAAGACGCGCAGATTCCCTTTGGATATAAGTCCAAAAAGCTAGTCTGCGTGCCTTCTCACTTGTTTTGAGGCGAGGTACTCTGAGTGTGGAAAGGCAAGTAGACGGACCATCGTCTAGTACCTGAGCATTTCCAGCAAGAAGAAGGGCAAATATGCAGCATTGCCTAAATAAAGACGAGTGGAAACTTGCAAGATATGGGAAAGGTGCAGAGAGCGGTTTGTCTCTGTGTCCATTGCAATGCCAGGCTGCAGAAGTTCAGTGTGCAGGCTTCCGCTCCATTGACAGCTCAAGACTCCTTTCATATGATGGAAATTCAAGATGTGGTCATCTAGCCTGGAAAGAAAGAAATAGAATCGTTACTAGAATGACAAGACGTCTCCAGCCATTCAAATATGGCAGATGTCTGCTCCCAGATCACAGCTCTTAGCTAGAGGCTCTTGAACCTCTGTAGCATCGAAAGGAAGCAATCTCAAGCTCCTGTTGCGAACCAACATCACCGACAAGTTTGTCACAACGTGCAATGTCTCGCAATCTGTACGATCCTCCTTTCCACTACAGCCCACGAAGGCCCTACCCAGCGCGATACCCGCCGCCGCCCTCGCCGCTTGAGATTGAAGCGTATCTCGCGCCGTACTACTACGTACGGCCGCCGCACGAACGGGCAGCCTCACCGATCATGAGCCCCTTATTGAGTGGTCGACACCGAGATGAGGATTCCGGGGCCAGGGAACGCGGTGACCGTCGAGGTGAAGCCAGCGATGACGAAACTGAGCGCGTCCAGAAAGCCGTGGGAAGCCTCTCGCTCATTCAACAGGCTCCGCAAGACCGTAAAGCCGCTGTCCGGTCACGCCAGTATCGCCTCATTCAGATCAGGCTATTGCTAGTTCAAGTCCATGACCAGCTTGAGATTGCACACGAGTTCTACAACGCAGCGTTCAATAAGTTCCGGGGGCAGGTGGAGAAAATCAAGGAGTCCAGCCCAGCGACAAAGAATCAGATATGGGTCGACATGCTTTCGAAGGATGCAGAGAAAGGCAAGAAGGAGGCGGACAGGGAAAGATCGCCGCCGCCGCTCAACTTCGATACAGTAATGGCGCAGGTGGAGACTTGTTTGCAGTCACTTGAAGGCGCTCGGATGAAGAACTCGCCGCCAGCTTCAGGCTTTGACGACAAATCACCAGACGCCGAGGGCCAATTCAAGGTGGTCGTTGACGCTGTCAGGGAAATTGTCGACCTGGCCGCAAAGGCTCCAGAGGAGAACCTCGTGTGCGAAGATCTGGTGGAGCGCCTCGATAGAGCTCGGAGTCTGGCCGATACCACTTCTAACGTCTGGAGAGCCGTGCTATCTAAGTTGCCGGCTAGAAGCATGGGAAGCACAAAGTCCAAAGATCCAGAATGGAACCCCAGTAGCGAAGAGCAACAATCGGGATCTTAGAGCCCGTCGTGAGCGATGCGGTAAGCGATCGTCAAATTCTAATGCGTTGTCGATCGCTTCTTGCTGGAATCGTACTGTGCTGGCCGATGTGGAAGTGGCGATTGGCGTCTGCGGTAAATGTGTCGGTGAAGGTTGGAGTTTGAGGTGAAGTAAGGGAGACATAGACTACATTGTTAGGAGGGCATATTTGTTCGTTAGTAGTATCCTTGGTCCACAGAGCCGAAATCGCAGAAAAAAAAATGTATCTTACCTGAGAAGAAAAAAGGTGAAGCACCGTCCTCAACAGAATGATCGGAATTGAATTGTCAAGTCCCTGGCCAGCCGAGGCCAGCCAGGATCCAGACGCTGCGTATCGCACTCAAGTGCTCTGCACAATCTTTTCGCAACGGCTCTCCCATAGGGACACCGAGTCCAGAGCTCATCTTCCCCCTCTTCCCAGAGGAAATTAGGGTATACATGAGAACGGCCCGGGCCCTGCTTTTCTGATGCCAATTGCAGACGTGAAATCACGCCAGACCCTCGCGGGCAGACCCGTCATCCCGCACTAGGCAGGCGACATTGGGTGAGTGGTGTGAAGAAGTTACTCCGAATTTCTCATATGCCAGTTTGGTAGAATGAGAGACTTCCGCTTGCGCGTACATCTCTCCGTTTGTAGCATAGAAACGCAGCGTTGAAGAGGACGGTGCTTGAAGAAGGGAAAAAAGAAGAGGAGTCAGACTCTGCGCGGAAATTGGCGCTTTATATATGAATTTTTTGTGACGTGGGGTTGCAAGGGTCTTTGGCGGCAGCCTTGCAAATGAGGCTAACCAATCAGCGAGCTGGATTGGCAGGTACCTCCGGAAGGAAAGACCCCTCGAAGCAACCCCCCACCTGCCAGATCTGGACCCCACGTTTTATGGGTCCCGAAGCTTAGCGATAAGGATCCTTATCGCCCTGCCGCTGTGGTTCCTGCGTGAGGTCTTGGTTTTGTATTGGCGATGGGGTCTTTGGTCAGGTCCAGACCGCCGCACAAAATTTCCGTGACGCTGAGGCACATGCCCCCCTTCTCGCTTTCTCGTCGACGACGCACCTTTTCTTCTGGCCAACGTTATTTGTTAAATTTCTTCTCTTCTGATGCGAATTCTACCGGATTCGAATGTTCATAATATACAATTGCACGTAGAATCTTAATCCGCAACCATGATACTCGAACCGAAGGACTTCCCGCAGATGTGGCAAAAGCCGTCAAGTGATGACTTACTCAGCACACTGAAGCAACTGGAACTTAGTCCTCCGGTATGGAGTCACAAGCGCAGGCGATCCGATATTGTTCATGAGCAAGAGGCCACGGCGTATTTTCGGCGCGAAGTAACGATGTACCTATCGTCCATCATCAAGAGCGGTCTCTCCTGGATCGAGGACGATGACAAAAAGGAGGAAGTCTGGTCAGAGGCTAGCCGCAGGATGACGGAACGATGTGGAAGAACCGGTATGTGTTGACGATGAATGCTGCCTTTCCTGAACTGCGCAGCCTCTAATGCTGCACGTAGCCATGGGCGAGATTACTCGGCGATGGCCCTTTAGAGAAGAGGACCTCACGCCGACCTTTGAGCTCATCATCCGGGAGCCGCCCTTGACCGGCGACTCACTTGGTCTCAAGACCTGGGGGTCTTCTTACGTTCTCGCCAAGCACTTGCCATCTATCGGTTCGACAGCTCTCTTCCGGCTCTTTGACGAATCTCTGGGCGAGCCGCGGCCATCTGTCTTGGAATTAGGTTCTGGTACAGGCCTACTTGGACTTGCGGCGGCAGCTTTGTGGAAGGCTCATGTGATTCTCAGCGACTTGCCAGACATCATGTCGAATCTTTGCCATAACGTTGAGGCCAACCGTGCCACGGTGGAGAAGCTGGGAGGTTCATTGAACGCTGGTGCACTTACTTGGGGTGGCTCAGGGGATGAGGAAGTTGACCAGGACCTCTTTGGCAAACGAAACCAGTTCAAGGTACGTGACTATTGAAAGTTGCTACGGAGAGACTGCTAATCTGGCTCATAGGTTGTCCTTGCTGCTGATCCCCTTTACGACGACTGTCATCCAGGGCTTCTGGCAGGTGCTTTTGCTGAGCAGCTATCAACCGCAGACGATGCTCGCGCAGTTGTAATGGTTCCGCTACGAGACGAAACCACCAAAAAGCTTCTCAAGGCTTTCCGAGATGCTATGAGAAGCCAGGAAAACCCTCTACTATGCATTGAGGAAGGAACGCTCGATGGCCAGGATGACTGGGGTGAAGACGAGGAAGGCACCGACGTGACTTGTTGGTGGGGAATCTTTGCACGCAAGCAGCAAGTATGATTACCAGAGGAGCAATCAGTGAAATGATCGACTTAAGACATAAATCTAGACGATGAATAATGGCATAGGCCCGTCCCCGCAAATTAGAACTAGATCTAGACAAAATAGAATTCAATGATAGATGAATCGGATGCCTTGACATACAATAATCAGGTGCGACCAACTTCACCGTCTATCCCAACCCGTTGCCGTGTCGTGTGTCCAGCTCACAACAGGAGGCTCCTTCCCCTGGGAGAACCTCTTTCCATCTTCTGTGTATATCTGCGGCCCTGAATCACTGCCTTTTCAAAAATCACCCGTCGCTCCCTCCTGCCTCGAGAAAACTCGTGGATCACTTCTCTGCGGTCCTTTCTCCTCTCTTCCTTACTTCCAAATTTCCTCACTTCCAGACTTCCTCACTTTCAAGCTTCCTCACTCCCTCACTTCACACACATCTTTTCCCTCTTCTCACAAACTGCCCCAAACAAACCAAACCAAGCTATCCTATCCACGATACACGGCCTCTCGGTATGCACCTGAGACACCTGCAAATACAGCGAACAAACGACTAACCTTCAGGATGGTTGGTCAAATCACCTACACCGAGGAAGAAATTATCTTCATTCTCCATCACAGTCTCGTCAAGGACAAGGATCATAAAGACACCTTGCGCGAGTACGAACAGCGATTCAGCAAACCTCTCACCATGGCTCAATTGAAATACGTCAGAGCCAAATATGGTCATGATCCTGAATTCGGGTAAGTTTTCTCCCTCGATGGGCCCTGTTACTACTATTTGGCCTATACCTCCCTTGATCTCTCCTTCTTTGATTGAAGAACGTGAAGAGTGCCGCTTTCTGATAAGTCTTTGGCAGCACGGCAATGATCAATGGACAGGTCCCGGACAATGGCGGTAATAGAAAGACTGCGGTTCAATCTCCATGGCAGTAAGTCGGCATAGCTTCTTAGGAGACGTGACCCAAGTTACTCATTTTAATCACTTAGGGAAGAGATGGTTGCACCTATCCAGTACAAGAACGATCAAAGCGATCAATCCTTCACAGTTTCTACGAACGAGGATGAATCAGCCTCTGAGGATCACATGCTGCAGGCCCTGGCAAGCTATGTGTACGATTCTCCCTCAGAGGCTCCCGAGAACCTGGCTTTGTCCTCCGACAAGGCACAGCAGGATGAGCAGGCGCGCATCGACGCAGAGGAATATGCTGCCGCACACGAAAAGATTCTGCAGATGTTCCAGGAGAATCCCGACCGCCCGTATGGCGTACAGCCTGTTCAGCAGTACTACGAGCAGATGCTCTTCCCTTCTACGGTGCAGAAGCGAAAACGGGATGAGCTTGAGGAAGCGGATGAAGGATCGATCACAACCCCGGATTCAGGTTCATCTCCTGCAGTGCTTGAAGGACCTCAAGAGAGCATTCCGAAGCGTTTGAAGACCCAGCCGCAGGAGACATACCTCCAGGAGCTCTCCGCTCAGTATTTATCTCCGATGCTGAACAACAACGCACCCCAGACGACCGGACATGATGATGAAGCGTTGAACCTACTCAATTTCAATCTTCCTGAAGTCCCTGGAACCCCCGAGAATCTGAGAATGGGCACAGATCATGTGCATGCGGAGAGAGACCCCAGTTTGTCACCCCTGACAAAGCTTCTCAATAGCATCGACAATGAGTATCCTCAAGGACCAACAACTGACAGCTCGTTCTTCACACAGCTCGATCGTCAGATGGACCCATCTGGCTATAGCACCGTCGACTTCGAGAATACTATGTTCCAGGAACCAAATCCACCAGCTGCTCCCATGTGGACAGGGGCGGACCCAACGATGTTATCTGCGAGCCCCAGCCTCAATTTCTCCCAGTCTATGCAACTTGCGCCATGGGAAGCACCACACAACGAGGAAGAGAGCAACTTCTGGGGCACCCAATCAGACACCTGGCAGGGAATGACTGGTTATGATACTGCGCCGGGATTCAACTTAGATCCGCTGGTTCCACAGTATGCCCAAACTTCTGCACCTCATGCCTATGCTGAGATGATGGCCAGCGCCGGCGGACCATACCAAGGCTCCGGAGCCTTGACTTCTGTGCAGCAACAAGTCGAAGGCCAGAACATCGCTGGCTTCTCTGGCGATATCAACGTCGACTGGAACAACGTGAGCAATGCCGAGTGGGATGAACTGTTCACGTACAGTGCAGAGCCACAGGGCCATGCCGACTATTCTCAGCAGTTCTTTGGTCCTCTCGAGTAGAGCTACGATCCGCACTTTTCCTTCTTGCATACAATCTCTGGGTTACAGTTCACACACAAAATTTCTGTTGCCTGGAGCACAACGAAGCATCACATAACAGCTTGCCTACTTCCCAATACGATACCCCCTTTCTTCCCCTTTTCAGCAGATTCCTCCTTTTCGACAAACTCCTCTTCGACAATGAACTCACCATATTTGGACCTTCAGTACGCAGGCACGGTAGCTTGCAAATAGATAGATAGGTAGTTGGTGGTCATTGCGACATAAGCTATAAGATGATTTCCTCCCAGATTGGCCACAATATCCATTGTGACATGTAATGTAACGAACGACGCTCCCAGCCTCCCTTGTTCTCATAACGACATTGAAAAAGACGCACGATTTTCTAGCCTCCCATTGTCCAAGCTCCCAGCGCCAAAATCCGTCCACGATGGGTATCTAGTGCAGTAGAAACGAACAGACGGGCGCTCTCCCCCAGGTATGTTGTGTGTTGTTTTGCATGTTGTTTGTGTGTATGTGTGCGTTTGTTTGAAACTCTGGCCTCTCCAAGCAGAACTTTCTTCGCAATAGACCTACCCGCTCTGCTCTGCCTTATGAGGGTGGTGTAGTAGGCTGTAATAGTGGTTTTCGTGAGGAAACCCTGAAGAACAATGCAGAAAAGAAGAAGAAAAAAGAGAATTGAGACAAGGTTTGAGGGAAAATAGGCGTTCAGACCACTATGGTTGTTGATTTCCTCGACTCGCCCTCCTCTGGTGGGAAGCCAAACACGAGCCTGTACAGGTCGCGCAAGAATATATACTGGCTAGATCTTTGGGTCATGTAGTGAACGCTCTTGGCCAGGTCGTGCGCCGAGATACGTTTGCCATGGGGCGGAAACAGCGAAGATCCCCTGAATGCCGTGTCGGCCTGAACAAGGTTCTTGTAGTGCTGTAAAAGTGTCGAGTGCGCAGGTAAGGACCCGAAGGAGCCCGTGGGCATATGCTTGACAAAGGCTTGGAGAGCTGACTTCTCGGCTTTACTGTCAAGAGCCGGGTCTCGAGTAAAGCCAACGTTCATGGCAGCCTTGATGACGAGGGCTTTGATGCGGTTGCTGTTGCTGTCCTCGCCTGCCGTAGTCGTTGTTGCCGTGCTGGATGTTTTGTTGCTGCTCTGCGAGTAGCTCGACAACTGCGAAGCGCTGCTTGACCACCGTCCCCCACGTCCGCTGTCAGATGTTGTGCCTAGAACGAGGATATTTGGCACTCGGGGCGAGGAGCTCTCTGGAGAGATCGGCGTGTCTTCAAATTCGGTCACGGGAGTTTCAGGAACTGGTGGCGGCTTCCGTGGCCGCTCCTCGGCCAGGCTTTTGTGACTTTCCCTCTTTGAGTATGACGATCGGTTCGACGCTCTGCTCTCACCTCGAGCAGGTTGATCATACTGCTGCTGATGGCCGAAGAAGCTCGTCTGGCTCGGTCGTGGGGTGTTTCGGTCTGGCCGCACTTGGGTCCACCCGTCTCGGAAGAGGTCGCAAAGCTCCCAGCATGCCTGTACTGCAGAACATAGGAGCTCCTCGTCAGGAGCTCTTCCGTCACGCTTATTCTGTCTCAGACTGAATAGCATCTCGGCAAGTGACCAACACGCCTTCAGCAAAGAGTCCGTCTCATCGGCCAGTTCGCTTCGCTGTTTCATCAATCGATGGCAAAGAGTAATATAGAAATCTAGAGTACGCTCCCGGAAGGGCTCTGGGAGGTTCTGGATATCCTGAGCGCTATAGAGACTGGGATCATGGTTAGCTAATTTTCCCGACCCTTATGGATCTCTGGAATGAACTCACTGGTTATTCAGTTCAAAACTGACTCTCAAAACAGAATCAGCAACTTCATCCTTCCTCTGTCGGACGTCGAAAAGGGACTGGCAAAAGTCTCGGCAATGATCGAGATTCTCTCGGACATGGTGATCATAGTGGTCTTCGTCGCGGTTGTCATACAGGCGCTGGCAAAGCCTCCAGCATGCCATCCAAGCTTTTTCGTGAGCATCGGGAGTACCTGAGCTGTTGAACATCCGTGTTCGATGAATCGAGCTCAAGTTCGCTAACGTGTTACACAATGTCCAGCACTCTTGAAGAGCGGTTCGTAGAGCCCTGATTTCCGAATCCTCTTGAGGCAAGGCAGGGGTGGCGAAGGGCTCTTCGTCGTAATTTTCGGTGTCAGTCTCTACTTCTCTAGCCTCGTCGATTTCTGCTTCGCGTTAGATCATTCAGTCGTAGGATGAGTGTAGGCAATCTACAAACTTTCAAGGCTGCTTGTGCTGCTAGACCTTAGCCGGGACGACTCATTTAGCATGTCGTGGAGGTCTTGCGCGCGTGGTGTGGCGCTGTCTAGACTGTACCGAACGGGCCGGATATCTGTGGAGAGAGGAGGTGGCGTAGGTAGTCCAGGAGATCTCGACTGTTCTAGCTCAGTACTTGAATGGCTTCAGGTGAAGCTTTTGGGCAGCCATACCTTAATTGCATGATCGGTGACGGATGGAAGACTCATTGTATCGGTCTTGGGTGACGATCTCGTGCTGCTTTGATCCGGCTTTACTGTCGGCTCCGTAGAGGCCTGTCTCAAGGTCAGTCTATGCCTGTATGGGAGAGAGTTTCCATGATTTACTTACCCAGCTATGAAAGCTTTCCGGCGCATGTATGACTGATACGGCTTCTTCACTGCTGCTCTGCCGCAAATGATCGGGAATGTTGGTTGAGAGCATCATGAGCTAGAATGGGTCAGTCACGCTGCCTGGCTTTGGAATGGCATCCAGAAGACTAACCTGAGGATGTGGTGCCGGATTGGTAACATTAGGCCGGGCCTGGACCTCCTCCGCCTCTTCGTCCTCGATTTCCGTTGTTTCGGTACCAGTCGAAGTGACTGGTGAAGGTCCAACAATATCACTCGGGCTCATCAAGTTCAAATTCGTCGACGGAACTCTCTGAATGGAATTGGGGCGCAGAGAATTGCGGCCGGAGTGATCTGAGGCGTTCGAAGACCTAAACCCATATATATATAAGCTTGGGAACTACAACGACACCGTACGACCATAATTGCTTACATGCTGGCGAAAGGGGATTGAAAAGAACCGTTGTCGGGAGATGAGACAGACATGTCGTTGTGATGGGAATAAGCAGATATTTGACTTCCGATAGACGACCGGAGGGGGGCTTCGAGTGCCATCGTCAGTCTCTCGACTCGTTTGTATGCGATAACCTTCCGGCACTGACGCAGGTAGTGATGGAAGTCGGTCGGGCTGTCCAGCAGACTGGTATTCGGCGGCTTTCAAAGTCGAGAATGCCTCGGGAGCCCCACGCAGTTTGCTTTCTGGTCGGTTGGGTCTACTCCTGGGCCGCACTGGATAGATGGTGTTGGTCGTGATCCTAGAGGCCGTCGAGGCGAAGGAATAAAGCTGTGCTGGAAGGTCTCGTAGACGACGGCCCGGGGATCATCAAGCTTCCAGACTAGCAACAGCAGGCTCGAGAGTGAAGAAGCTCGAGAGCGAGAGGGTGGGGAGGGCAGTTTAAGAGGAGCTGTGCCTACTGCTACCTCAGTGCTGGGAAGAGTAACGGTACGGAGACCGGGGTGGCTCCAGGCCGACCCTAGCTGACCGTGTCTGTGCCTCGCTCACGCGAAATATCGACAGGGCCAGGTTTGGTTTCGCTGCGTCGCGGCGGGTCTCCTGTGGCAGCAGGGGTACCCAAATAGCGATCCTGACGATTGAAGGGTCAATATATGGGGAAGGCAAGTTGGCTCGACCTGGGGGCAGCGCGACTACGGCCCTGCTGGGAGAAAATGGGGGAATTTCAGAGAGCCAGATCAGGCTGAGAGCTGTACGTCTGTTTCTGCGACCTAAGCTTAGGTAGGTGTGCTGCAGTATGCCCGTCTCTTGGGAAGGGCGGTTGAGAGAGAGCTGCGGCTAAGATTCGACCAAACGGGTGACTAGCACGGCTCCACCGACGGCTTCGTCGTCTATGCGGTCTCGGGCAGCCGGGCAAGAGAAGCGAAAGTTGACAGAATGGGAAAATCAGGTAGACAGACAGAAGATGAGCAGTCGACAGCTGATTTGAGACGGCGCGGTTGATGTGGATGTCCAACATCCACTGTACAGACACCCGGCAGGTGGCACGGAGGCGGGCGGTTCGGTGGTACGGGTAAAGAAAGAAGCCAGCCCTCCAACGGAACGGCGAGAAATTGTTATGATTTGCAGGGCAAGATAACCAGCAGTAACAAGAATGGGTGTTCTCGGTGCTTCCCAAGGAGCAAGACAAGCTGGATTTGAGTTGTGGAGGAGAGTCAAGTCAGAAATGTCAGAAATTTGTGTGTTGTCTGAATGGTTGACCTAGTTCCGATCCGCCCTATGGACAGGCACCTCACATGGGAATAAAATAGAAGGGGGAGACCGGAAATGGATCGTCGTAGCGTTCGTTCGCTGGCAGTTGAGCAAAGGAGAGTGATCCGACAGGACGAAGGGAAGAAGGCTAAGAAGTCAAATCGTTAGAGTAGAGAGGGCCGAGGTGCCCAGAAAGAAGAGAGGTCCACGGGGTGGGATCCAATCCGCGATCTGGGTTGGCCGCACCTCAGTCGGAGACAACCACCGCGGTACCACCACCATCTTTTGCGCCTTCTTCGTTCCCAAGAATCCCAGGGTGCACCATTCTCCACGAACTTGAGCCTAGTTAAGGCAGGCACCGGGCAGCATGTAGAAGGCGATGGATGAACCAGTCAGAGATGCAGCTGCGCGTCTTCTCCCATGGGCATAGCAGCGCACCTCCTGACGGGTTCAACCAGTCAGAGTTGGGCACAAGGTGGTGTCGGTGGATGGGAAGAGCGACGTCGAGCTGTGGGCTGCATGAAGCAGACAGGCGTCGGCGCTTAGCAAAAGGTGGGTCTCGCTTCCGTCCAGTCGTGCCCGTGAACCACAACCGACCCCTGCACTTGACGGCCCCACTTAGGATGGAGGGGCTTGCCTTACACTTGGAGGGGTGATGAAAAGGCAAGGGGCGCCCGGCCAAGATGGAAGGAAAGATCCAGGGCCACCACTGCTCCAAAGGCAATAGCAGGGAAGAGAGAACCTTCCTCAGCGTGTATCTCAACCGCCCCGCCGTCCCTTTCAGGTCTGGAGGCACCTTAGGCAATGGCTGTTTGCGGAACTAAACGTCAGGTGTATAGTAGGTAAGGTAGGTATGAAGGAATATACGGAAGGAACGTATTTGATCATGGGTACGGAGTACGAGACTGCCAATTTACCTGACGAAATGGAAGTGAATGTGGTGGCATTGAGGTTTTGTCTGCCAAGGTACCTCACCGAAGATTTGCTTTCTTATACCTCAATTCGGCTCTGACGTGGGACAACTTTGACGAGAATTCTTCCCCGTCAATCCCAATGTCTACCCATCGTATCAGAACCATTTGGAGTCCTAGACAGAGAAGACACTTTCCTCTGTGATTGACCGACACTGAGGCCGGCAGCGACAAGTTGTGTAGACCGAGCCGGTATGCTGGGCCCAACGGTATCAACCGCGGCCTGCATGTCTGAATTGGGACTTTTGTCCCTCTTCTGATTGCGTGCAGTGTGCCTGCTCGCATATCGGAGATGGATGGGCGGATATCTCTCGCAACCTCCTCCAACGCCCTCTTATCCCCCCATCAGAGAGATTCGCGGGCCAATCTGACGATGCCGTGTCATTGAAGACGCGGGAAACACAGTCACGCTACCTGGAGTTGCTTATGTACTGTGCATTTGGGGGCCGTGATATGCGCGTGCACCATTGTGAACGGCTCTGCCCGTCCGTTGTCGTGGACATCTTCGTTACCAGTCTCGGTCCCTGTTTGCCGCCCTGGTGGGAATGTGTGTGTGCGCGCGAGGCGGGGGAGCTCCGTTGGGACTTGGGGCAGACGCCTAACACCTCTTTACTTCGACTTTCAACAGCGCAGGCTGCGGTGGACCACAAACTCATTTGCCGGCTCCAGCAACGAAATCGAACACGGCCTCGACCTGGACCTTCGGTTTTTGACGAGAATTTGGAAAGTGTTTTGAGAGTCGCTCGGCAGCCAAATAAACAAAGCCGCACCTCTGCCATATGGTCAGAAACGACTAGTGCCATGTAACCGGGGCTGTTTGCTCCGCGACAATCGGCCTGATCAGGTCAGTAGACATCGGGCCAAGGTTGACCCATTCATCAGGTAAGACCCCGAGAGAGAGGTGGTTGGTGATGTACTCTTATTCATATACCACCAGTCTTCACTTCACTATCGTGTGTACTATCAACAGACGGCTAATCGTTGTAGGAGGGTGCAAGAACAAGTTCCTCGCGAGCCCAACGTGTCTGCCATGCATCAGACGTAATTCGTACTCCGTACTCAAATCCCCGCTTCTCTTTTCTATTCATGGCAACACGGATTCCGATAATCTGGAACGGCGTTTCCTCAGTACCTTACGGATATTGAAGGGGGGAAGAAAGAGAAATTTGTAGCGGCACCATGCTGCGGTGAGGTGCACCGTTCGACACAGAGTGGGCCCTGATCGACCTTGATTCACACGCTACCAGGTGTGACAGGCCACACCCAAGCCTACCGTTTGTTTAAACCGTCTGTGGTAGGGATTGGATGGAAGCCCGGGCCCGTTGCGGCTTCAAATCCTACTGGCGGGTACATATCCCTCCTTCACCGTTGGTTATGCGTTGGCTGTTGGTTCGAGTCTTTCTTCGAAAATCTTGCTAGCCAGACTCTGTCAACTGCCTAGACAGCTGGGCAGCAGCCTATCCTATGGTTGCATTGAGTATTTGGTAAGTTTCCTTGTGGAAAACAGAGCAGGATATGCCTGACATTCAAACTTGTGACTCAGTTCTTGCAACTCGATGGTTATTCCTGTTTGAAGTAGCATACTTAGAACAAAGGTACGCTTACAACAAATCATATTCGGACTTATATTGGAGAACTTTTCCTTGAGATTGGCGTACAGAGTACAAGTAGGCTACACACATTTCAGAAATTCAAACCCAAGTCAGTTATCCTGGGCAATCGCTTCATAGAAACGGGTAACAAGATCCGGCCAAGCATCCCAACAATTGTGTTGCTCAAGGAAACCCCGCCCCTGTCAGGGTCCCCGGCGACCCGTCGATGTCTCGCAGACAGACTCATCACCTGACAACAGCTCGCTTCGCAAATTCATCGACGTTGTATGTACGCTTGGTACGCTTGGTACGCTTCGCAAACTGCCCAGAACCTGGAAGGCGTAATATTGCTGGTCCTCGACACTAACTTTTCAATGTCCGTTGAGGCCGTCATTTTCTTGAAGAATTGCATCCCAGCCATTGTTTTAGTACAGTGATAGCCCTGGCTATCATGTAGGTGCCTTCGACTGATCACAGCGCTAGCAAGAATTTTGGTAAAAGCAAACCACCTCGACCCCAGCGACCCGGTGGGGTGTGCAGCTCCAGCCTCCAGGACCCAGGAATCCGTGGCCGGGCACCAGTTTGCTGATCGTCGACGGAGGGGCCGGACTATTCACCCACCACACCTCCACGCTTCGAAGGATCAGATACGATGTCAATATCGCCGACGCCTACGGCACACTCATTTTCCAGGTATCAAGAACGAAAGGGAAACCAACTACTAGCCAAGGATGGTACGAGATCTTTTCCCTCTCCAGTCTCCGTGAGCCCTCCCCTCCCGAACGCTGGCCTGCGACTAGCCGGGGTCTCTGCTTGCTTCGTGGTATCCCTGACGCCACGACCGCATCACGCATGCAGTCCAACGCGCGTAGGCGCCAACAAGCAGCTCTGCGGGCTCCCTACGGCTCTGGACTCCCCATCCGGTATGGCCTTTCTCTGTACGACATGTAGGAAGCTGGAGTTATGCTGCAATTTTGGACACAGGAGAGCCAGTCGCAGTAGCAGTTGCGCGCTAAAGTCGAATCCTTTCGCGGTTGCGCCAGTCCCTCGAGCTCGGGATCCCGAAGTAATTGTGTACTCATGCGAATGCAACTCGATGCCATGGAGCTGTGGGTCTTTGTTGCTAAGTTTTGCTTATCTGTGAGCAGTCTTCCGGTTCCGCGTATGCGTCAGTCTAGTTCGGCCAGGCGGACGTATCTCCAGACTCTGAACGCTGTGCAGCAAACCAAGGCTTGTTGGAGCTACCCTGTGTCCTGTGACAAATCACCACCATCCGCGAAATGAAAGCTTCGGCGGATATGGTCCCATTCAGGAAATCTGGTTGGTGCATCTCGCGGCAAAAACCACCACTGCGCCATTCCCAGACCCTCGGGTCTTCATGTTAGCCACTACTACATGGCCAGCACAGCACTTTGCACCCGTTGCCTTGCTAAACCCATGTCTCCGTTGGTGCTTGGAGTATCACGCGAAGAGGAAAAAACGAGGAAGAATGGGTCACCATCTACCAGGATTCAACAATCAAAACAAGCACCAGGCAGAAATCGGCAGATTGGCTTGGGCTCTCCCGGATCGCGTACCCGGACTGCCTGTTTCTCTGCAGAGCCCAGAACAATCGCGAAGGTTCAAGCGGTGAACTCCGCCTCGCGTATAATTCTGGCCCCCAAGGTCAGCCTGCTGTACAACGTCACTGACCGGAAAGATGCTGGAGGCTCTTGGGCTGGTACATGCTGTGCTAGAAGTGATGTTCTTCGTCCATATAGCACCGTCTCACCACCCACCTAGATGCCGTTGCAGCAAGGCGCATGTGGTCAGCGATTAGCGGCCAGGCGGACTGACATGAAAGCTACTTTTGCCTACTGGCTGCTACCTCTGCCTTGACCGCTAGATCAAAGAGATGCGCTGCTTTCAGACTCGGAGAGAACCAGTCATTTTGCTAGAGCATCAAAACATTGTTGGGATGTGACACTGCTACACACATGTGAATGCCTGTTTCATAGGTCGCCTGATATAGCTGCGTTCTTTGTTGGAGCGATCTCTCGAAGAGCTGTCACTGTGGGAAACCAGATGGTTGACCAGCAAACAAATTTGTACTACCGACCAGGTGCTGAGCCCATTGACTAGGACCCAACATGCTGTCTAATCACATGACGAGCGACGTGAAGACTAGTAGAGTCATCTTGGAGAACCGAGACCCTCTGAGATAGCATTCCTGCGTACAATTGCAGCCACTGTCCATTTCCATGTGGCGGGGTTGCATCTGGGCCTGTAGTTGTCTCGATGCCAATCGACATGCCTCTTGCCACCGCTTGCTGAGCTTGCTTTGAGGTGGCTGGTTCTCGCTGCCTGTAGGAGTCGGAGACGGGAGCTTTCCATCTGTACTGAAGCACATGTTCGCTGACGCTCCGTCACGGCTCGAGCACAGCTTTCCCCCTATTTGCGCAGCGTACTCTGCCTTCCACGAGAATCCCTAACGCCTTGCAATGCCAATGTTTTCCAAAAACTCCAATTCGTGAAATCCATTCCCGGCACTTTACGGGTTCAAGGACATCTTCTTCTCGTTGCGACCGTCGGGGGTGTACCTGTAGGGATCTGTAAGCTTCCGAAAAAACGATTCGGCGCATGCTGCTCTATGATATACGTACTTGAGAAGCTTCTCAATAAGGTCGACGTGGGTCATGACCATGCGGCGGCAGCAGTAGCGCTTCAGGCCAAGCTGGTCCATCGCGTCGCTGTTGACGTGAATGTTAACTATCGCGTGTCGCTATTCAGCATCGCGATCGTGGTGACTCACCCATCCGTAATGCCGTCGTCGATGAGCTTGAGGTAGCGCTCCCACAGGTCTCCGGTGACCTGACAATAATTGTTAGATACCAGGCGTCCATCGCATGCGATCATCTGTGCCGACGAACCTTGCCGCAAGAGAAGCAGCGAACGGGGATAATCATTGTGCCTGAGAAAGTCGGAAATGGAGCTGTGGCAGTTTGACGTTGGTTCACTGAGAGACCGTAGCGGTTCCGGTGCGTCGCTTCTCGAGGTGTTGCGTGGTTTGAGGGTCCTGGGACTGTTGCCTTCCGAAATCGTCGTCGCCGTCGTCAAAGAAAACTTCCGGGGCTTTCCTGTCGCAGTGGAAGGCGCGCGACCAGACGAGCGAACAGAAAATTTGTCGGTCCGTGATTTCCTCCGCCGCTTATCTTATCGGTGTTGATTGTGGGGGAGCTCCACCAATTGCATGGCCGGGCGACTGGGCGGGACCAAAATTTCTTTGGGAACTCTTGAACTTTTTTTTTTTCTTAGTAGGAACGAAAGAAGGGTCGTGTGTGCGAAACAGAGCAGGATTGAAAGCCAGAGACTGCCCGAACGAAGAAAAGTCTCCAGGCCGCCGCTTCCCTTCCTTGTCTCCTCGCCTCGAGATCTTTGCGACTCTCAATTGCCCGTACTTGAAAATCGTCATCGGCTTTCGCGCAAATTTATACCTACACAATGGCTGGCCCTTCGACCCCGAGAAGTCGGGAGGACCAGAAGAAGCGTAAGAGAGAGCAGAACGAGAGGGACGGACAGGCGAAGCGCCTTCGGCAAAAGACCAAGACGGCGGGCAAAGCAAATGGCCAAAAGAACGGAAACACCGACGCCGACGACCTCCGCGACGGCGCCTTGAATGTGCTTTCGCAGCTCCAGAAGAACCTTACCGACGACCAAATCGAGACCGAGCTGGTCAAGCTCGGCGACACGGATGCTCAGGAGGCGGGATGGCAGGTCTCTCTGCCAATGGGCGGCCGAATGGCTGACATTGATCCCATCTTTGCCGAGAACGAGAAGTAGGTGCCAACTCAGCAGACGTTTCTTGGTCGACTTCTGGTGTCTAACATGAGGGGAACTAGGTACCTGATCGTCACTTACAACACATCCTTGCAAATCTACTCAGTGGCCGAGTCACTATTAATCCGAAGAATTGCCCTCCCGGTGGTCCAAAACACATACGCGGAGAAGTCGTCTGCCCCCACGATCGTAGCTACGCGCCAGTCGCAGCTCAAGCCCGACTTCCTCTGGGTGGCCTGCTCTGACGGCAGGGTCTGGCGGGTGAACTGGAAGAAGGGAACCGGTGTCTACGACGAGTTCCGGACCCAGTCGCAAACGGCGCTGGACCTATCTGTGGCATCAACCGAGGGACAGAAGAAGACAACGGAGGTCCTGTACGTCTCGGAGGGGAAGAAGCACGCCAAGGGCGAGGTTGTCGCATACTCCGGCCCCGATTTCAAGCAGCCCACCGCCGAGGTCCTTTTCGCTACGAAGCAGGTCGATCAGGCGATCCACCTACTGCGCTCTAGCCCCAATGGCAAGACCATTGTCGGAGCTACCAAGGACGGTCTCGTCGTTGGAACACTGACGCCGGAATCCGAGTGGGAGTTCTTCACGTTCGATACGACTGATATTATCTGCGCCCTCGACATCCGGGTTACACACAGCAAGGACAACTCCCTCGTCCTCGACCTGATTGCGGGTGGTGCCCGAGGTGCCATCTACTTCTACGACGACATCCTCAGAAAACTGCAGAACCTCAACGGGCCAAAATCTAAGAGAGAGGCTCTCACGAGCCGCAAGTTCCACTGGCACAGGAGGGCTGTCCACAGCGTGAAGTGGTCAAAGGATGGTGAGGACTTTCAGTCGCCAATGACTACCATCTGCAAACACTAACATGCGCCATAGGTCAATACATGATTTCCGGTGGTTCGGAAAATGTTCTCGTGCTCTGGCAGATGGATACCGGCAAGAAGGATTTCCTCCCTCACTTGTCGGGAAGTATCGAGAACATCGTTGTGTCTCCCACCGGAGCATCTTACGCAATTCACTTGGATGACAACTCCGCCATCGTCTTGTCCACGGCTGAGATGAAGCCATCGACGTACATATCTGGTATTCAGTCCGCCGCCCGGTTTACCTCGACGCCAAAGGACTTGCTCGTCAAGCGTGTCTGGTCTGTTTCCGACGAGGTGCGGCATCCAGTTCCTGCGGCACTGAATCCTGCCGAGCCATCAAGACTGTATGTCTGCACAGGAACTGGTCAGCAGTCTATGTTGGCTGGCGAGATCCAGTCAGCACCCTTGTTGCAATCATTCGATATGGAGTCGTTCCGGAGTGTCTCAAAGCAAGCTCTGGCAAGAACCCAGCCGACAGATGTTAATATCACGTCAAAGGGTAACCCCATCTCAGAGCCTCGCATAACCCATGTTGCATTCTCGCAAGACGGCAGGTGGTTGGCGACCGTTGATGACTGGCAACCTCCTAAGCGTGATTTGGAGAAGGTGGCACCAGAAGCGCGCGAGCAGTTTGTAAGAGAGAGGCGCGAGATCTACCTTAAGTTCTGGTCTGCGACTGCTGGCGAAGAGCACTTTGCCCTGTCTTCCAGAATCAACAGCCCGCACGTCACAAGTCGGCCAGAGACGGTCCTGGCGCTTGCGGCAGATCACACGACGAACAGATTCGCCACCCTCGGAGACGATGGTACGGCACGGATATGGCAGTCAAAAACAAGGCAGCAGGATGGTATCGCATCCAAGGACAACGCCGGCGAGGTCTTGCACTCGTGGTCATGCACTGTTGCCGTGGGTCTCGGAGGCAACGTGGGAGCTGACGCGCTTACCACCACTGGAGAGACGACGGGAGAGCGCAGCGGCAGCCTATGCTTCTCCGAGGACGGCTCGACACTTTTTGTTGCCTTTGGCCACTCAAACGATGGCGGCATCTATGTGATCGATACCAAGACTGGTGAGATTAGGTCGACACTGGAAAACATGTGGAAGGGCCACATTCGCCGCCTTCAAGTTCTCTCCCCATACATCATCACCCTCTCGGACGACCTGAGAGTGTTTGATGTGGTCGCCGACGAGCTGCAGTACGGCCTCCAGCTGCCGAGTGGCCGCAACGCCACGGCAGTCAAGGAGTTCAGCCACTTGGCTGTTGACCGCAAATCACGGACGTTTGCCGTCGTCGTACCTGGCGGCCAAGCTTCGCAGCTCGCAGTCTTCAAGCCGGAAGAACCTGCGCTGCTGTGCGTGAGGCGCATCCCCCACCGTATCACCAGTCTTGTCTCCACTGGAAGCTCATCAGGCTTCGTCGCAGTCGATGACGCGGCGCAACTCTGGTCAGTCGCCGAGGCCTCGGATCCCGCAGCCGTCGCCCTCTCAAGGCCATTGGAGGATATGCAGCTGGACGGTGAGCCGGTTGCCGCAGACGTGATTCTCGACGACGCCATCGAGGATGAAGAGATGGCCAGCGACAATGAGCAGGAGGCGGAGGCTGCGAACGGGGAAGAGATGGATTTGGATGATGACGACGCCCAACCGGCTGTCATCAACAGGCAGAAACTTGCCGAGCTGTTTGATGCGGCGCCGGCTTTCGCCATGCCCTCGGTTGAGGACATGTTCTACAAGGTTACGGGGTTACTGGCGACGAAGCCTCTGGGATCATGAAACGGCTAAACAAAAGTTGTCAAAATATGTGCATTATACCCGATAATAGAAGAATGTAGTAAAAGCATTTGGATCTTCAAGGGTTTTCCTGTGGAAATGTTTGGTTGACTTGGCCCGCGTACTAGGCAACTCCCTTTAGTCCAGGGCTCTTCGCGCAGTATTGACGTGCTGCTCATCATGGATGCGTTGTGTCTGTACACCTTGATGGACTGTCGGGTAGGCAGATACGTACGACCGGACCGCCTGGCACCTTCCACACATGCCACGAGAAGGGCATATAGGTCCCCTCAATCCCATTCCTGTCACCAGCCAGCAGGCGCCCGTCTAGGTCGACGGGTCAGGTCAAACTGGCTGGGTGGTGGAGTGGTTTATGGTCAACAATCAAAATTTCTAACGCCAACCAGCCTTACTCGACGACAGGCTTAGCGAGTACCCGAGTTCGAATCCCAGCTTGAGCACCAAGAGATGTAGCCACACCGGTGGTGAACTCTTTTTTGGTGTTTAGGTGATTTTGGATTGGTAGATATCGGGGGTCGCTTGGTCTTAGTATGGCGAATGAATATAAATATGAAGAAGATTGAGTTATTTAAGGTGATTTTCAGGGTGGTGACTCTATGACTGCCAGTCAAGGAAGATGTTGTATCGCTTTCGCGTTTTCGCGTTAATTGGCGCCTGTGAGGGTTGGGCAGCGGTCAGATGGAATGTGAATATGCGCCGGTTATTCGGTGACCCCGCCGTGCCGAACTGCGGGGCAAGCCGATCGGCGAGGTGCCCCGCCGCCCGCATTACGCCATCCCGTTGCCCAATTGCTCAAACGACGGCTTACCTGAACAGCGGCGCGCCAAATGCTGCGACTTCGCACTCATGTTATCCGGATCATACCACTGATATCTTCTACACAGATTTCCATTCAATAGACGATCTACCTATTTCAGTTGCCTTCCCTAACTTCTTTCTAGTGCAGCTTAGTCCTGTCTTTTGTCTTTTGATCTCTCGACCGTTTTTGAATTCCTGTAGAGTATGAGACAGCAGTAGTGAGACACACAGCCATGTCTTTCACATCCATTCCGATCCTCGACCTCGCCTTGGCGCAGGATCCCGAGACGAAACCACAGTTTCTCATCGATTTGCGCCATGCACTCATGGAAGTTGGGTTCCTGTACCTCAAAAACGTCGGTATTCCCGACGAACTGTTCAAAAGGGTGATTAAAGAAGGCAAGGGCTTCTTTGAAATACCCACCGAGGAAAAGTACAGCGAACTCCTTTGATTCAAGCAATGATGCTCTAGATTGAAGACCGGTTTGTAAGTGTGCTGACATTCTTGATTAGACTAAAAATCGAGATGAAGAACGCCAAGTCCTTCCTCGGCTACTCCCAACTCTCAGCAGAAATCACAGCAGGCAAGATAGACCACCGCGAACAAATCGACCTCTCGACAGAACACCCGCTGCCGGGACCAAACGACCCGCTCTACTACAACCTCCTCGCCCCAAACCAGTGGCCCTCTGAATCCGCTCTCCCGGGCTTCCGCGCCACGTTCACAGAGTACATGAACCGCATGGGCCAAATCTCCATCGCCTTCACCTCTCTCATCGCCGAGGCCATTAAGCTGCCCGCCGACGCCTTCAACAAGTACTTTGACGCCAACCAGCAGCACAAGCTCAAGATCGTAAAGTACCCAGACCTCCAGGAACTCGGCATCACGGACCCCAAGATCCAGGGGCAAGGCGTTGGTCCGCACAAGGATAGTATGCTGAGCAGCTACCTCTTGCAAGCGAGCCACCACCGCGGGCTGCAGGTGCAAAACGTCCGCGGCGAATGGATCGACGCGCCGCCCGTCGAGGGCACGTTGGTTGTGGCCATCGGGCAGGGGTTAGAGGCGCTGACGCGGGGTGTCTGCGTGTCGACGACGCACCGCGTGCTCAGCCCGCCCGCCGGCGAGGGCGCGCGGTTCTCGATCCCATTCTTCCAGGGGGTGAGAGGGGACGCTGATTTTGAGGACCTCGAGACCGTCGGGGTCGGGCGGGTGCCGGAGGATATCCGGGAGCAGAGGCGTCTTGTGCTTGAGAGGAACGGCGGGACGAGGCTTGATGATGTCGAGTTTACGTTCCGGAAGGGCGGGGTGGCCAAGACGCTTGGGGAGGCGACGTTGAGGAATCGGATCAAGAGTCATCCGGACGTGGGGGAGAGGTGGTATCCGGATATTCTGGCTGCTATTCGCGAGGAGCAGGCTAGAGCTGCTACTGCTGCTGCTGGCGGGAAGAAGGATGTGAAGGGTGTTCCGGAGGTTTCGTCGGTTCCTGTTCCAGCGCATTGAGAACTCGTAGTGAGAGCGATATGTAAGCCTCATGAGGGTCCTCTCTCCTCTCGCGGTAGTAGTAACTCTATAGACCCATATCTGGATGAACTCGTCGGTTGTACCCGCCGAGAATCCAGCTCGCACCATGAAGTCAGCAATTTCACACAGGTCATGAGAGCAAATAAGCTCGGCCACGATGGGTGCCCGAAGTTGTGGAAGCGTGTGTTTGTACTCGTTTAATCGTGTTTTTTTCTTGGTTTCCCGAAAATAAAGAGGGCAAGATTTCAAATTACGCCTTTTCGCTGCATGCCCCGGGCCAGATCTTGACCGACTCCGCCCATCATTTCTTCAACATCACGCCGTGCCGCCATGCTCGTCCCTGAAAAATCCTCACAACTCCGTTCTGTTCATGACTCCTCTCACTCTCGATGTCTCTTCTCTCTTTCAAAATTATGCGGTAACGAAGGCGGGGAAGCAGTCGGCGAGGCCCTTGCTGTGCTTGTTCTCGGCGTGCTCGGTGAGACTATTGCAAGAAGACGACATCAGTACGTGAATCGCCAAACGCTAGAATCATGTAGAAAGACTGAGGAGGTTGCGACTTACGCGGGAGCCTTGGTGGTCTTGAGGAAGGTGGACTTGCAGATCTGGCACTGGATGTCCTTGGCGGCGGCGTTCTGGTCGCAAAAGTGTCAGTCGCCGGGACCTAGGAAGAATATTGAATGCGGAGGAATAATACGTACCACCTTGAGCTGAGAGCCCTTGGGCTTCGCGTCCTTGGCGTTGCGATCACGCTTCTGCTGAGCCTTTGCGCCCTGATTCCCCCAGAATGTCAGCATCAAATCTGCCCCTCATTTTCATGGTTTCCACCGGACCCTGATCAGCGGTGGGGTGAGGGGGAAGGGTTCGTTGGGTGTACATACGTTACCCATTTTGATGATATTTGTGGGATGTAGAGGTACTGTCGGTAGAGCGAAGTCGAGTGTCGGAAGTCGATAACGGTCGTGAAGAGTTCGTGAGAATTCGGGAAGTGAGGAAGGAAAAGAGGCTCAGGCGGGCGCAGACCGACTGGCCTTTTTTTTTTTTCTCTCCTGCCCCTCGGACGACCCCGTAGCGCTTCTGCATGGATCGACATTCCAGGCTGTCTTTGGGCACGGTCCTTCCGGGCCAGTAGCGTACCAGTCGCACTCTCCACCTGGGGTCTTCACCGACGGCACACTATGAGTGGGTCCTTTTTGCTGAGGAAAGAGCCCGGGCCGGAAATTGTTTGTAGCGTTCCGGGAATGTCGCTACAGAAGCCGTTTCATCCAGTCTGGTCCTCCATCCTTTCACATGCCCGAATAACTGGCATTATCCGAATTCTATTTGTCGTTCGTTTCGTTTCAACGGACCCGTTTTTCCCAATAGAGTTACAGCTTCCACTCAGCTCCTCTGTGGCTTTCTGACCCGACCTACATCAACGACGAGCCTAAGACGAGTGGGATTGAGCCCAGGCATTACCTAATTATCTTTTGATACGGAGTACTTTGATACCACATCACTCAGTGTACTGTCCTCGCGATCTGATCCACTCCCTTGCTGCTTTTAAGAGCGCGTCAAGCTTTGTTCTGGGGAGCTTCAGTTGAATCCTACTCACACCCTCGTTGTAATTCTTCAAACCTCTTCTTGCTCCGAGAACCCAGTTTCTCGCGATCACAGACGTGGTTAAGGAACGTCGCGCATTATGGCGACCTGGACTCCCAAAGTTATGTCACCGGACAAGCTATCTGCTAAGGAGTTCAAACATTTGCTCTCGGAATACGAACCTCTCATCGAGTTCATTTCATCCACCAAAGGCGGTATGTCGGCCCTGGATCGCGGCTCTTCCCCGCAGAATCATTGAGCTTGCCAGCAGATTCCTGACTTTCTCTATACAGCCAAGCCTGGCCAAAAGACCCTGAAAGAATTGGACCACTTCCGATTTGTTGAGGCCCCGACACAGTTTTCTGAGTATGAGCCGAAGCGTGTGATGGACCATGACGACGTCAAACTCCTAGTGGAATGGAAGCTGTAAGTGCAAGCCTTTCTTGATCACGCGTTCCCCGACAACATGTCTATGCGGAGCTTCAGACGGGGCTGTCCCTGCAGGTCCCTGTTTTCTATATTTTCGTATAAGTGTGTGCATGTGTTGAGTCATGTGCGCCCCAATTGCTATAATGGTTGGAAGAATCGAGTGATCTGATTTATTTGCTGTAGCCGTCATGGGACATTCCGTCCAACGCTCATGAAATTGGTGTCATCCAACGAGTCTTCGACTGTTGCGAAGACTATCGAGGACGCCATTGCGAGCTATCAAAGTACATCGGACCTTTCAGCGGCTTTGGGTATCCTGACCAAGTTGAAGGGCATCGGTCCCGCGACAGCTTCGCTTCTTCTCGCGGTACACTTTTCTGAGAAAGTCATGTTCTTCTCCGACGAGGGATACTACTGGATGTGCAACAATAACCAAAAAACATCACTCAAGTACAACATGAAGGAGTACGAGTCTCTCAACATACAAGTAGAAAAGCTCACCAAAAGACTCAACGTGTCTGCCCTTGACGTGGAGAAAGTAGCCTACGTCATTTTCCACCAGGAAGGAGTTGATCCCAAGCTGGCGCTCAAACGCAGCCTCTCAAAGGCTACAAAGACGGCCGCTCCGCAGACAAAAGCGACAGCACCGGAAAAAAGAAAGAAGAGCCCCGAAGATGTAGTCGAGGACAAGATGCCAGTCAGAAGATCGAAACGCGGGAAGGCTGTGTAATAAGCTTAATGTGGTCAGCGTTCGGATGGTGAATATCGGACCCGTCCGAAACACGGCAGCTGGGAACGACAACCCGCATGATATGGTCCAATCCACGTCGATGGATCTGCTTGAGGTTGGCACTCGATGCATGCGTCCACAGCCTGAAGGTGTGGTAAACGTTGCATCATGTATCCCGGACTGGGCTGAATGGAGAGTCGGAGACTGGTCTGGAAAATGGGAACTAGAACCCTTACCATGCGGCTACTTTTCACTTGTCAGTCAACTCTCCCATTGGTCTTGCATCCAGGAACGAGGTTCATTGAGGTTTGTGGCGGCACAGCGGCCCGGCTGTAGCGTTGCCAGCGACTAGGAGTATCCCCCACCGTTGAGCCGCGGCGACCCGACCTTTTCCCGGCCCCGCGTGATCCTGACCCCGGAACCTTGTCGGCGGCGGGGCCCGATGCCATCGCTCTAGGAACATGCTCCAACTCGTCCATTTCACGAACAAATACAACACGGAGCTTCTGCAAGTACCACCCGGTACGTTGCAGCTATTCACGCTGCAACATGGAGGACGACATGTTCCAAAATGAATATGGGCAAGGCGATGACACGTCGCCACTGCCGGACCTGGATTTCTCATCCATCTCAGACGACCTGCTTTCTCAGTTCCTCTCACCTTTTGATACCCCCAGTCTGCTTTGGTCACAGTCTTTTCCCATAGCTCTGGACAATCACCCACGAGGCTTTATGCGTGCCGACGAAATCTTCACCGAGAATGGCGGACCCATCCCGCTGCCACCAAGATTTGCTCAGATTAAACGAAGCCTGGTCGCGGGCAAGGAGCACGCCATAGTGCAATCATGGGAACGCTTATTAGTAGCTCTTCGAGCCGAGATCGCCGTCATTGGCGTCAGGAAATCAGACATTATCCCGACCATCGACTTCTCGGAGCTTCAAAATCATGCCCGCGTCTCCGACTTCACCGCCAAGCTCCGGCGCCGAGGTGGTGCCATCATCCGTAACGTCGTACCGGCCTCCGAGGCTCATGCTTGGCGCGAAGAGACGGAGACATACCTGTCGGAGAACCCGCACACCAAGGGCTGGCCAACGCGCGACCCGCACCTGTTCGGCATCTACTGGTCCCCGTCACAGATCAAGGGCCGAGCCCATCCCAACGTCTTGGCCGCTCAGCGATTTCTAATGCGACTTTGGCGCTCTCGGGACCCCAGCGCACCCGTGGTGGCCGACCTACCGGTGGCATACGCTGATCGTCTTCGGATCCGAACTCCAGGCGACGAAGCCTGGCATCTGAATGCTCATGTAGACGGCGGCAGTGTCGAGCGGTGGGAGAGTGATGGTTACGGGAACGCCGGGACGTACCAGCGCATATGGGACGGTAAATGGGAAGACTACGACCCCTGGGATAGCAGTACGCGGCTCAGAGTCACCTCAGATCTCTACAACGGCGCGGGCTCATGTAGTATGTTCCGCATGTTCCAAGGCTGGCTTTCCATGTCCGACATCAACCCGGCCGACGGCACACTCCTGCTTTGCCCCATGCTCCAGCTCGCCACCGCCTACTTCCTCCTACGCCCCTTCTTCTCACCGCGCAACCCCTCGCCAACGTCCCCCAACTTCCTCGCGCGCGAGAACTGGGCCCTGGACTTTGCCCAAACGAGCATCATCCAGGGCGCCGTCCCTTCCTACACACAAGAGCTCAACTCGGCGCTCCACCCCCATCTCCAGCTCGACAAGTCCCTCGTGCGCATCCCGCCCGTGCGGCCGGGCGACTACGTCGTGTGGCACCCGGATATGGTATACGGCGTCGACAGGGTGCCGACGTCGTCCGTGCCCGCGACCATCATGTACATCCCGGCCTGTCCCCTGACGCAGACCAACGCGCTGTACCTCGCCCGCCAGCGGAAGGCGTTCCTCCTCGGCCAGCCGAGCCCGGATTTTGGAGGCGGCAAGGGGGAGACGACGCACACGGGCCGGCCCGGCACGCAGGAAGTCAGCGACGCGGGTGGGGAGGACGGGCTTAGGGCCATGGGGCTGCTGCCTTGGGAGGATAAGGAGGGCAGGAGTCCGACGGAGAAGGCGCTGGTTGGGATGGCGAACGCGATTCTGTTTCCTGAGAGCTATGACATGGTTTGAGCATTTTCTTGGTGTGGAAGCGGTGTGCATGGCGTTTGGGTCGATTCCTGGGTGCATATGGGAAGCGAGTTTGGTAAAGCAAATGGTTTGGAAAAGAGACCCGTCAGTGTTATGGTTTAGATTGTCAAAATGGCGTATGAGACAACGAATCTACATGTAATATCCAGGTGCCGCCTCCAATTCACGGTAGCCTTGATTCCGTCGGCCACGCTTTTGCAGAAAACAAAATCACCAACCCCGGGAAAGGAGCCATAACTGCAGTAAGACTCCGCCATGACGTCTCTAACGAAAGGCCGCAGAGAGACACCTCCTTTCTACTCTGACTGATGAAATGGCACTCTCTGGTGTTCAATTCATTCCAGGGAAAAGTAGGTGCTTTCAATAGAAGAGTCCAAGCCTGTGTGTACTAATCGCTCGATGACCATTATTAGATCCGATTATGAGTTTTATGGTATCTTCAGACCAGTGGTCGGTGAGACGTCAACTGAGCTTCGGGTACCCTGCTGCCACGTTGGATCCTGACAATAACGGAGCCATGTTCTTCATACAACCAAGCACTCTCCTCGAGAATCCGTTCTGGCTGTACATCGACATCGTGAACATTTAGGGAGCAAGCAGCGGCCAGGTATCTTATCATCCTTAAGGCCAATCAATAAGACGCCATACGTTGCGCTGCCATTTCCTTGCGTCTCATAGCAGGCTAGACCTCGATATCAGACGCTACGTGAGGCCACAAGGAACTTCTGCAAACATCACGGATCTTACACTCAGAATGCCTTACTTTATCAGCCAACCAGATTTTCCAGTCAGATATGCACTTTTGTAACGCTTCCCACGACAAGTCTGCCTCACTCATATGATGGGCTGCGGATACGTGGCCAGTGTCCCCCAGCGAGGAGCAGATTCGCCGAAACCTGTCATCACTGCATGTGCTACGGTTGCGGCGGGATTATGATCAACCAGCGCTGGGTGCCTCATTGGATGGGTTGTCTTCCAAAACCGCCTTGCGTTGCAGAGCCTGCCGCAACGAAGACGCAGCCTGCAGCAAGAAGATGCAGCCACTTTAGAGCAACACTTCATCGCTGTGTTCTACTCTAGGGAAGTCGAAAAATCAGTCAGCGATTATTAACGCCGCATGACAGCCTACAGCAACCAACACACAGCCTGCTTGCATGATGGCGGACCTGAAGCCCCAAGATGTTGAGTGATACGAGGGCGGTCGCGCTTTCCGTGGTGCTTGTAAGTCTGAGAACCCCTTCCCCCAATATCTTTCCATGGGTGTCTGGAGAAAAATAACGCAACCGAACAGGATCTTTTCAGTATTCCCATCGTCCGTCGAAAGCCAAATTCCCGTGTACTCGTCCTCGACAACGCGCTCAACGTCGGCCTGAGGATCATAAGCAGTTTTCAGACAATTGTTTCCAATCATCAACGTATTCTACCATGGCCGACCCCTTAAGCATCGCCGCAAGCATTGCGGGGCTTCTCTCACTTGCGGATATTGTCTTTCTGCGCTTGTCCAAGTATATCAAGTCAGCCAAGAATGCCGAACAAGAGATCAGCGACTTATGCAAAGAAGTCAATTCGGTTGGGGGAACTGTCAACATGTTGTCGCGATTGGCAACCTCCCTGGAGGCGGAGGGCGACTCTCCCATACAGGGCTTCCGGATGCACCACATTGACGGCTGCGCGACAATCCTATGTGAGATTGTCAACAAGACGAAGAAGTATGAAGACAAACCAGGAGGAAAACTTAAACGACTCACATGGCCATTCTTTTCTTCAGAGACCAAGAAAATGCTTGCAGACCTCTCTCGACACAAGGAAAACATGAACCTTGCTTTGTCAGCCACTTCATTGGATGCATTACTGCGTTATCTCGCGAAAGAGGAAGAAAGAAATAGAACCACGGCTGTAATATTAGCCGATGTTCAGAAAACCAAAGAGATTGCGGTACGGATTCGCGAGACCGCCCAGCGAGAGCGAGTCCTCGACTTCTTCCTGATATACAACCCGCAATCAGATTACGAGATGAGTGTAAAGCTACGGCACCCAAGGACGGGCTTGTGGCTTGAACGCCATTCTTCTTTTCAGCAATGGCTACAGAACCAAACGTCCAGGCTTTGGTTAAGTGGCATTCCCGGCGCAGGCAAAACGGTACTCGCAGGCTCAATCATTGGCCATGCTCTTGTGAGAAGCTCAGAAACCGTTGCTGTGGGCTTCTTCTTTTGCGACTACAAGAACGAGGTGACGCAAAGCTCTGTCAACATTCTTGGGGCTTTGGCGTACCAACTGGCGATACAGAGCGAGGAAGCATATTCGATGCTTGAGGAGTATTACTCCGAACTTCACCCAGACCGAGGACTTCCTAGATCTGCCAACCCCGAAGACCTAAGGCGGATTATCATAAGAATGTCCCAAGTCTTCGAGCGTACCTATCTGGTGGTTGACGGTCTCGATGAATGCGGAGACCACGCAGAGGATATCGTGGAGGCGCTTTGCGACGTGGCAGAAAACTCGGACGACTTATCGATGGCGCTACTTAGTCGCGACGAAGACGACATACAACGACACCTTCGAGATACCGCAAATAATTTTCACAATATAGAGATTGCGGCTCACACGGAGGACATCACCGAGTTTCTCACGTCGGAAGTAGAACGGCGAGTCCGCAATAAGAAGCTGGAATTCGAAGATCTCTCTCTCAAAGCAGAGATTCTGGAAAGCCTTGTGGCCGGGGCACGCGGAATGTAAGCATTGTTACCGTGGAGATAGAGAACATGGAAACCCTGCTTACTGAGCTTTTGAATAGGTTTCGCTGGGTTGCTTGTCAACTGGATCACCTTGGACATTGCATATCAGACGAGGAATGTCGAGAAGCCTTGCGCAGTCTCCCACCTGATCTTCCAGAGACTTATATGCGCATCTTGAGGAGAGTTCCCGAAGCAAAACGAGAATTCGTTCAGATGACACTGCATTTCATCGCTTACGCTGAGCCAACCCTCAACACTGCGCAATTAAAAGAGATTCTTTCAATACCGTCAACTAGCAATCATCTTAGCTCATCTGGCATCATCAGGGAAGACGCAATCGTCAGGTATTGCAGCAGTCTGCTTAGAAAGTCAAACGACGGGTCTCACCTCGAATTCGCCCATTTTTCGGTTCAGGAGTTTTTGACCAGCAATATCCTACAGTCGTCTAATTTAGGGATGTTTCACATCTCCAAATCCCACTGCGATAGACTTCTAGCAGTGCGATGCTTGGAATATCTTCAGCTCGACAACTTCAATCATCAACCAACAGCCACAAGTGAAGAAATTACCTACATGGAACACAGAAACAACGAATATCCTCTCTACAAGTATGCTGCGGAGAATTGGATATGCTTCGCGAGAGAACAGTGGATACATTCTGAGATACTAGCCCAGGCGAAGCGGCTCTTCGATCCGCAGAAATCCACGCAATTCATGTCATGGGTAGCGACTTTAGTCTGGGAGATCTGGAACTCTACATTTGATGAGCTCGGTCGGGAAGGAATTAACACAATGGCTGTTGATTCGATAGCGGGAATCATTCAGGACAGTTTCCAACCACTGCACTTCGCGGCGACTATGGCACTACCAGAAATCAGTTCATTTCTACTACAGACTTCGGACCATCACGAAACCAAATGCATGCTTGGAACCCCAATAAAGTGTGCTGTAAATTGTCTTTGCGGGGCTCTAGAGCACTTCTTCTTCTACTATACCCATACACCGGCGTGGTTTCAACGCTACACAGGAACGGACAGTCTTGAGTTGTCTTATACTATCGAAACCGTGGAATTGTTTCTGGACATGGATCTCCACACACCAGAGGATCTTTTACGTGTTTCTCTGAGTGATGGAATCAGTATACGCAACCTTTCGGTCGCCCAGCTACTCGTTGAAAAAGGTCTTGTTCCCACACAAAGCGACTTAGACCATTTCAAAAGAGTTATGCACACGGTTATGGACGATAAAGAAATTTACTGGGGCGAGACATTTCTGCCATCACTATGCAGCTTCTGCGAAGCGCTTAGCCATGGAATTGATACTTCGCCCTTGTATCTTGAGTTTTGTCAGTCGGCGTGGGAATATTGCCTGCGGATTACTCCGAGTCTCGTTGATCTCGAAGGTTACAACATCAGTTCCAAAGTTACTAATGATGCACGTAGCCTAGAGACGTTGGCATTTGATGTGGTTCGCTGGAGCTTCGACATTACTGTCTTGCAAAGAGTTGTTGATGATCAACGAGTGGATGTTTCAACCATTCTAAGCCCTGGTCAGGAAGATGGGCTATTGCATGCACTGGTCCGATCAGGGAATGGTGATTGGGCAGGTGAAGATTCTGACTGGCTCGTCCGGGCTGAGAAAATCTTGGACTTGCTGTTGAGCGTCGGTTGTAGCCTTTCCAAGCACAACAGAGACGGACATACACCATTGACGCTTGCAATCAAAGAAAGACTGTTTAGCTTTGCCGAAATCATCTTCGAGAGGTGTGAAAACGAGCCGATGGCCTGGGAATGCCAGACTCCAATACTGTTGTTGGTTGCTGAATCAGGCTCTGAGGGTATCTTAGACCTACTTCAAAGTATGGGTCTGGAAGTTCACCTGGCCGACTATGAACACAAAACCCCGTTACATTGTTTGGATGCCCATGCGGAGTTGACCTTTGTCAAGAAATTGGAATCGCTGGTTCCACACGCAAGGCAACTTCGAAGCAATGGAAAGTTGCCATGGGAATGCTATGCAGACACCATCACAGCCAAAAGATTCGACTCGCCACCTGTGGAGGTGCTAGAGTATCTCGTTCAACCGCTAGTTACCCTCTCAAATCCTTTCGAGGCGTCGAAGGTGTGGGAGCACTACGCCTCAATAATTTTGCGGGGCAAAGGCCTTACATCCGAGTATGTCGATGAAGCAGTCAGATGCCTGGTACGTGTTGGCATATTCGACATGTACGAGAAAGATTGTTCGAATTCTGCGCTTTCACCGATCGCTGAAGCCTGTTCGAATGAGTGGTTGGTGGATCCTAGCAGCATAAAGCACTTTCGTCTCACGGACGACACGCTGTGTTTCTTGTTGAAGGCCACAACCTACTGGAACAGTTTCCAAGGGTCACTTTGTGCCGTCGAACTTCTGAAATTATCTTCCACTCTCAACTACGGCATGACTGTAGGTCAGTTGTTAACACGAGGCATTGATGTCCATCGACGCTGCAAAGGGTCGTCCACCCTGGAACATATTTGCGCGTTACCAGCGGCCTGTGAAGACGACAATTCCAGGGTACGACAGCTTCTTGATCACGCAGATCCCGTATGCTTGAACCATACAAACCCAAGCTCTGGTTTGGGGTTGATTCATCTCTCTAATGAGAAGGATGTACCGCAGTTCAGGCAGGGGATAGTCGAAATGCTTCTAGGGCATGGTGTTATTCCAGATCTGCGGATTAGTATCTGGCCACGATCATCGGCATTGGTTTACCACTTGTCTAAGAAACATTCTGACATAGCGGCTACTCTCCTCCGTCAAGGAGCGGATCCTTCAGCTCCGGATCGAGATGGATGGACAGCGACTCACGCGGCGATTGCACGCGGTAATGTGTCTTTTCTGTCCGACCTTCTCGATAACAGGAAATGCACTTGGAAAATCGACTGGGAAGGTCAATGCGACCTTACTTATGATGGAAAAGCGTACGAAGGCATCAGACCGCTGCATTGCGCAGCCCTGTCATCTGTCGATTGTCTCCAGGCTATCCTTGAGAAGGTAGACTCTATCAGTCTGGAAGCGGCGTCAGAGAATGGGTACACTGCTGTTCACTTTGCAGTAGTGGGCAGGAAAATCAGCGCGGTTGAGCTTCTCCATGATCGAGGTGCAAACATCAACGCGAGGTCAGTTGATGGCCAATTAGCCCTGCATATTGCTGTTGCTAAAGGCTATCTCGCGGCCGTCGAAAGACTCCTGGAACTGGGCAGTGAAATAACACCCGATTGTGATGGAAGGACGCCGCTGCTACTAGCGTACCAACGAAATGATCAAAACATCATTGACTGCCTTAGAGACCACGATAAGAGCCAGCGCGGCGTGGTTCCGGCCGGTATGCGTTCTGCAGCTCTTGCCAAAGGGGTTTTCAGAGCTATCCAAGCTGGGAACCTCTCTTCTTGTCAAGAGATTTTTGCATCACTGCCGACAGTGGATATAGATATACCTGCCATATTTGGGGGCCTTACAGCTCTTGGAGCTGCCGTACGCTTTGGGAAACTGAACATAGTAACTTGGCTTCTACAACAAGGTGCAAATGCAAATTACCCCTGCGGAAACGACAGTTCCATCATCCTAACGATGATCTTCCAACCCCTTTTAAATCCAGGATTACCAGCAATGCTCGAGAGATATGTTGCGACCGGTGGTAGCATTCTGAGGGAATCAGGATGTGTGGTGGCCACGGCTGTGAGGGCCAACAATGAAGAAGGATTGGTAATTCTTCTGGATCATCTGAAAGCCAAAAGGAAGCATCATGCGTAAGTTAACTTCCAAAATTGATGAGATTCAACAACTCATATGGATGTAGCGAGCAAGTTGATGCAGACTCGTCGGCATTATTTGCCTTGGCTGTGAATAGAAAATGGCAACATATGACGGCCTTGCATTGGGCGGTAATGCAGAACAAAGTGTTCTTTGTTCAGCTCTTAGTCGACAATAGCGCCGATCTCGAGGCCAAAGACAATTTGGGTCGCACCCCCCTCCTCCTCGTCACAACGGCACCTGCTACGGTCGACAATTCAGTTGTTATTCAAATTCTTCTCCAGGCTGGCAGCAACATCAACTGTCGCAACAACACTGGCGCTACACCAATGGCCGAGGCATGTGTGAGGGGGAACTCTCTTGCCATTTCAGCTCTAATGGACTGGGACCCAGATATGTTGGCCAAAGATCACAGAGGGCGCAATGTGTTGCACTATCTCTTCTACAGCAGAGAGACTAACGAAAGAGATAGCTGTAGGCCCGCACTCTTCATCAAGTTCACTCAAATGGGTGTCAAGCCGAGCGAACTCGACATGTTTGGCTGCTCTGCCATTCATCTGAGTATACACAACAAATGTATGACAGCCTTGTTGCTGAATGGAAATGCCCAGATTCAGGAGGAAAGGCCTATTCCGTGGTCAAGTTTGTTTTTAAACCCGTATGCTGTCAACGCAGCATGCCTGACAACGGCCTTTCGGCTGTACCGTCGAAAGCTATCAACTCAAAAGTTCCGTACGCTGCTGAATCTTGAGGTCGTCGGTCCCCGGAATCCCCTCTGCTTCGCTGCATCCACAGGCCAAATACAAGCCATGGAAAACATTTTGTCTTTGGGAAGTCTGATAGACTTTGAAGGCTGTCCTGAGGGGTCCGCACTCATGGCAGCATCCAGCGCAGGAACTTTAGAATCCGTCATCTATCTCGTTCGCCATGGCGCGAGCATCTCCTTCCAAGGACACAACCACTTTCGGTCTGCAGTGAAGCTGGCCGCTACTTCACCGCGGGTCCTTCGCTGGTTGCTTGTAGATCGATTCACCGACCAGAAGAAGCTCGACCAGTTTTGCCACGAATCAACCTCCCTATCGACATGTTACAAGCCGTGGAGCGGGATTCACAAAGCCGAGATGATCATTTCAGGACGATGGGAGCGGCAGCCATATGAGTCCTCTCGGCAATACTGGGCACGTCTATCAAGCATGACAGAAGAGTTCAGAGGCAAGTTCCTTCCTCCTAACAACGGGAAGACAACGCGGAGACAGTCGAAGCTGGTCCCGTCAGAAAGTGTCAAGATTGCAGCCGGTGGGTATTTTGTTCCGTACGATGCCTCGTTAGGAGAGCGCGTGACGAGGAAGAGCAAGTGGTCAGAGTTGAGCTTGGAGGTTCGAGAGTGTCTGGAGCGTTTCTGCTTATGATCTTGAGGAGAACTCGTGCTATCGCGTGGGAATTGGGCTGGTTAATATCTCATGAAGTTATCATTCAGGCTGACGTAAGGTGAACTAATGATAATCACGTTTCTTTTAAGATTCTATGCTACTTGCCAAACCATAGTCTCTACTAACAACCAAGCTACCAACGCTTCCCGAGCACTCTTTACACGATGACGTGAACCGTACCCAGCCGAAGGAGATCATTCTTAGAGGCGGAAAACACCTGCTCAGAGTATCGCTAGACCTTCTCGCATGTCCTGAGAGTAATTAGGCTCACCCGTTGTCTTAGATTACAAGGCAGCCAGCAGCCGAATCAGCTTTCCCTGGCACCGGGCCGCAACTATCATTGGTATCTGAGCAGTTGACGACAGTACGGGACCCCCACCTCCCTCATGGCTAATAAGGAAGAAACTGGCCGCTCTCTTCGGAACTACGCAACAAGATACCTCACCGTCCACTAACGCTACAAAACGAAAAGAAGAGTAAAAGATATACATGCAACACCGGGCATTCGCCGGTCGTCTCCGACCCGACTACTACTCCGGCCCTCACTGGTTTATCGATGGGAGAGCGGACGGGATCCCGAGTTCTCCAGTGGGTGTGGTCGCATGTGCTGTGTCATAGTGGTGAAGGTGGTGAAGTTGGAGCTGTTACTGAGAGGCTGGTGGTGGTGGTTTCATGTCAGGGGCAAAGAGGGTTCTTGGGATCGAGTCTCAGACGCAGTCAAAAGAGAAATGTTGGTTGTATTGATCAAACAATGTCAAATATCTGCTCTGGCCGGAGACGAACATGTCAAAAAGGCATCTGCAATGCCTTCAACCGGCAAAAGTTCCGAAACCGAGAATCGAACTCGGGGCTATGCCTAGCCTCTCACTGAGATGAGAGGGCATCATGTTGGCCACTACACCATATCGGATGTTGATGGAAAATCTTAAGAAATGTCTGTCCTAGTAGCTGCAGTCAGCAGGCCACCCCAGCAGCTCGCCACCCAAGCGGGCTTAGCGCCCAGCGGACCCACAGCACCGGCCACAACCCCCGAACATCGGCGTGTCTACCGACCGAACGTCTTCCGAGATACGACCTCGAGCGAGTCATGGCACGGCTCGCATCCCATGTCAGAAACCCGACCAGTTCGTCTCAGCCCCCAATGAATTCGCGTTTACTGGGCGGTCATTTGTTTGGCGTTGCAGTCTTGGGATTCTTTGGCTTTTTTGGAATCTCGTCTAACGCACCTAGTTCCATGGACTAGTCCGTCTTTCTTGCCTGCCGCGCCGGTCTAAAAAGTAGCTCGACTGAATGGCAGGCACCCAGGTCCACGGGCAGACATTACCCTGGTGTTGGGGATCTCAATCTGACTAGTGAACCCCTCCCTCCTCGCCAACCACGGACACCACGACCATCCATTACCGTGATCTGTCACCACGCTACCCACCGGCATTGAACCCCCGGAGAACCGGGAGTAGGATGGTCGGCATGCAAGTGACAAAATGGGATAATGGCCAACAAAAGATTGCCATGCTTACTACTTACCTGCTTCTTGTCCACAATGTTTTATTCTTTCATTCCTGTGATTTCTACTGTTACTTTATCTTTTATATTCATTTGAGAATACTCTTGGAGAAAAGAAGAGGAATAGTGATAATAGGAATAGGAATAGGAATAGGGACAATAGGAATAGGAATAGGAACAACAGGAAGAGGAATAAGGACAACAGGAATAATAGGAGTGATAGGATAAGCGCTAGGGAGGGTACCTAATAGAGCGGCAACCGAAGGTGTCGCCCACCCGGCATGGTACTGTAGGTAGTGCCAATGTTTCGAGGAGGGTGTGGGTAAAGATGACGTTGATCGATGCTTTTGTAGTTCATCGACTCTTGGGAAGGTGTTCTGCCGGGGGGAGATCCCCTGGGCACGTTTGGGGGCCTCGTTTATAGCCTCAGAAGTAGACGGTACATCTTGCATGGCGGCACGTCGATGTACTCGATACATCTTGGTCTTGGCTGTCTGTTCGGGTACGGTCTCCTCTTGCCTAATCTGATCTTCTTGCACTTGCGATTGTCCGTTCTCTCTCGTATGCGAGACTGGCATATCAGTGGGACGCCTCTGCAAGAATAGCTTGATGCGATTGTGAATCGTGAGTCGTGAAAAGGAGATTAGGAGATAATCTTCCAGGAAGAGATCCGAATCGTTCGTCGGAAGTGCAACATGGCCCCCGGTTCTTGTCGTTCGATTCGTCATACTCGTCAGAGCTGGCGAGGTAATGACGCAAATCAGATATCACATCGGAGGGGAGGGCTCCAAATGCCCATCAAACAGATTCCGGGGCTGGGATATCGTGGGGATTTCCTCCTCGACAACACGCAGGTCGCTTCGCACACGTGTATGGCCCGGAGGCCAGAACTTCCTCTCTCGCACTCTCTCAACCCCCGGTCTTGGCAGGGTGGCAGGCAGGAAAAAGATCCGGGACTTGAATCGTGTATTGTGCATCGGACAAGACTACGGATACGGATTGCAGCTCAAAAGCCACTGGGAATGGAACCCCAAAATTTCCAACTTTCTCTTGTTGGACTGACTCCAAACTCCGCCAAACCCCTCACAAACTCCTCATCGCCTTTTCCCCCTTCAAGCCTATCCCAGGAAACCGATGTTCCCAGCACCCCGGGAATGGACTGTCTTGGGTGGCAAGGGGTCCTATCCGAGCGGCTGGCAACACAGCTCTTCTCGGGTCTTCTGACCTCGTATGCTCACCGTTTTCGTATGAGGAGTCGAGACGGTCTCTGGACGGTTGTGAGCAGGTCACGCAAGCATACCTACTCACACCCCTCTCTTGAATCGCCAAAAAAAACGCACAATGTCGCAACTTCCTTGATTAACCCCCCAGATGGGAATTGCGTCACTGTAATCTCAATAAGGCAGAGTCGGTTCTTATCTTATGTACTTTCTGCCTAGTTCCCCCGGACTCCCGGTGGGAGTCTCAAAGCTCACACCCAAGAGAGCGGCACGACTTGCCTGTCCGTTCCGATTGGGAAAGGCTTCGAAAATGGTTAAGGTTTCTTGTGTAACCCGTCAACTATGAGATGACGTTGCGGAACTTGGGCGGCCCCGCGCCGCCGGCCAAAGGAGTTGGTTGCGGGAGTCCCACTCGCAGCTTGCCATTGCTTACCTTTCTCCATAGTCCCAAAGTGCTGTTGTCGGCTAAAGTGAAGGTTCACTTACTCATACAAAGCATGCCATTTCGGCAAAAGATGGGTATATCCCGATAGGAATCCCGATTTGTTATCAATTCAAAGCCCGGGCGAGTGGGTGATGGCGGCGGGCAAAACTTGGGCAGAACTTCTCCTCGTCGGCACGAACAATTAGGTGCTAGCTCGGTTATGCTGTGAAGTCGAAATATCGAGAGCTGAATCGGGAAAAGAGCCTGGTGAATACCGAGACATGTCAAAGCTTTCGCTAAACCAAGGCAAGAGAAAACATGGGAAACATCAGGTCTCACTTCGGCTCCTAGTCCGAATCTGAGTTCAAGTCCCGGCTGGCAGTAAATGAGAGGCTGCAGCTGGGCATCCCATGGCTTTATAGAGGCCCTTTCGAATATAGTCGCTTCTTCGGTTCGGTCAGACCGAGCGGCCTTGGGCTGTAACTGTTAAATTGTGCATTCTTCAGTAAGTTCGACTAGCCAACTACAAATAGATCCATTGTCAACATCAGTGCATGCTCTCCACCATCTATGATGAGCTCATTAGCTACGGGACGGTGCTCAAAGACAGTGAGTGCTATGAGTAGGATCAGGGTGTAATCCCGCGAGGCATGTTATTAAGTTAGGATATTCCCTTCAAGCTTTACTGGGCAGGACTTGAAGGCATATATAGCACTTATAACGTCGGACAACCGGACAGTTCGCTAGTGAGACGTACCCAGCGGGTGATGATATTTTCTTGGAAAGTGGTCACCTTGACCTGGTGGTTTCTCTTTAAGTTTGATTTCACTGAAAATACCCATATTTGCGCTTCTCCGGAGACATTTTGGTCAACCGGCGTCCGTAGATTACTTTGATGTGACATTGTATCCCTACAAGAAAGATACTCAACACCCTGACTGCGGGGTGTGGCCGTGTGAGATCTTTCTTTCCCTCATGATTACATGCTGGTTATTTTCAAGCGCAGAGCCAAGCCCAGCTCACCCGAATTCGTGAGGATGAATTCAAGGAGAGACGCTGTCTCGAAGTGTAAGACGTTCACAATGACTTGGAATCTCACACATGATGGGACATGTCGCCGAGCATCTCGAATACGTGTGAAGCAATTGGCAGTTGCCAGCTGGAGAGGATCACCTGTGACCTCACGCGACCAATCACACCCACCCTGGGCGAACTGCCTTAATTACCATGCCCTGAGGTGACACCGTGACAGCAAGACAGCGGCAGGTAGCGGGCAGGCTGGAGGAGCACAGCAGGCCAATGCAGGGGCCGACAGAGGTCTGTGCTTGGCTTTGGCGAGGGGGATGCCTTAACGAGAGTTGTGATACGTGGGCGGAATTGCTCAGGGACCAGAGGCTAGCCCTTCCAGCCCTTCTAGGCCTTCTAGCCCTCGGATCCCGCCAATCTCAGCCCAGGGAAGGGACGGAGGCGATGGATGCTGCTCCAGCAAAGTACCTTTCATTACCTCATCTCAAGGCTTAAAGCACACCTAGTATCCCGTAGCTGACATGGGGGGGGGGGCACACCTGCCTGTCTGTACCTTATTGTTAAGCTACCCGAGGCATGGCAGTGATCGCACTAACAAGGCCCCGTCACCGAGGTCGTGCGACGCACCTTCCCCTGCCAGTGCCAGCCCACGTCCGCCCGCCCTCCCCTCTGCCTTCTTGTCAGGGCCAGCGCCAGCAACTGTACCGACCTACTTCCTGCAACACAGATACCACTACCAGCGCCTACTACAGCACTAGAGCCTTCCTTGGGACCCGACCTTGCGAACGAGACGAAAGTGGATCTCTTTTCTGCGGCTGGGCTCCAATTCTTTCCTCTACCTTACTTACTACGGCTACCTGGCGTTCTGCAACCAAACTACACGTACCATACCTCACAGCAAACCACACAAACCCCGAGTCATCCAACGACACAGCAACTGCAACACAACCCTCAACAACTCAAGTAAACAAATCTGTCCCTCGACTCAAGCCCCGAAGCCCCCCCGACGCACGTCCGTTAGCCTGCTCCCGACTCACGGCTCTCCCGACGACCTTGCATCGCCAATTGGCCCGATATACCACCTTCTTTCTGCCCTCTCTTCCCACACCATCTCCCTCCCTCGAACCGCAATCGCCTTGTCCCAAAGACCGACCCCCCGGGCAATCATCCACATCCTCGCGAGAGGGGGGCAATGACCATTCCCCCGCCGAACCATGGCTGATTCGGCCAGGTCCTCGGACAAGAACCCCCGGTCCCCCCTCAAGTCCAAGGTTGTACGCTCTCAGAAGATCTCTCCGCCCAACGATTCCCGGCCCCCACCACCGGGCGTGCCCGACGATCTCGAGGACTTCAGCGACCGCGACATCGAGCAGCACCGCCGTGTCCCCTCCGCTCCGGGAGGACCCATAATCCCGCGTTCCCATACGCCCGGTCACCTTGCCTCAAAGAGTCAAGACCGTCGCCGCAAACCTTCCGAACTCTCCATTCGCCAGCGCTCCCAGTCGGCGTCCCAGGCCCAGGCCTCACAACAGTCTCGTACGACACCCACGAGCGCGAATACCCCTAGGCCTCCGCCGCCGTCCTTCCGGCCGAGCAATACTGCAAGCGATGCCACGACGCTGAACAGCAACGATGGCTCCGAGTCTACCGGTGGCCACGGCTCTGACCGTGACGGCCGCCGCCCTATCGCCATGCGCTCCACATCTGCCATAGCCGCAAAGCCTTCTTCGCTCCCTCTCTCGTCATCCTCAACACGCCAGCTCTCGACGACAGTCTCCTCAAGATCCGCTCCTAAAGGCCAACATATCCCCTTTCCGCCCCTCCAGGACCCAAAGACTGCGCCAGACGTACCTCCAGCCCCATCATCAGGCATGTACTGGTCGCGAGCGCCTGTCTCAGGGGCTCCCCATACGTCACTTCGCGCTCACACAACCACGCTTGTCGGATCCAACATATTTGTGTTTGGAGGCTGCGACTCCCGCGCCTGTTTCAACGAGCTCTACGTCTTTGATGCAGATGCCTTCTACTGGTCCGTACCGCACGTTACCGGCGAGATCCCTGTGCCACTGCGCGCAATGACCTGCACAGCTGTCGGCAAAAAGCTGGTGATTTTTGGCGGCGGCGATGGGCCCGCCTATTACAATGATATATACGTTCTAGACACGACCAATTTCAGGTGGCACCGGCCAAAGATTATAGGCGACCGTGTCCCTTCCAAGCGTCGCGCGCACACAGCTTGCCTCTACAAGAACGGCATTTACATCTTTGGAGGCGGTGATGGGGTTCGCGCTCTCAACGATGTCTGGCGCCTCGACGTTAGCGATATGAACAAGATGTCATGGAAGCTTGTCTCCGGGCCCGAGCGGGCCCCGCCCCCGGGCGTCCGGGAGACTCGCCCGAAGCCCCGCGGCTACCACACCGCCAACATGGTGGGAAGCAAGCTGATCATCTTTGGCGGCTCCGATGGCGGCGAGTGCTTCAACGACGTGTGGGTCTACGACGTCGACGCCCATATCTGGAAAGCCGTGTCCATCCCGCAGACCTACCGCCGCCTATCACATACGGCCACCCTCGTGGGCTCCTATCTATTCATTGTTGGTGGACACGATGGCAACGAGTACTCCAACGATGTCCTACTACTTAACCTCGTTACCATGACGTGGGATCGTCGGCGCGTCTACGGATTGCCGCCTAGCGGCCGTGGATACCACGGCACTGTGCTGTACGACAGCCGTCTGTTCATCATTGGTGGATTTGACGGCAGCGAAGTGTTTAGCGATGTCTGGATGTTGGAACTGGCTGTGCACGCGTATTATTCCCAGATTAGCCACTTCACTATTGAGGTCTAGGATTCAAGGAAGAGCCTGGGAGTCTGCCGTTGTTCTTGCTTTTTCAACAGCATCTTTGTCATATACCGTAATCTGGTTTAATCTGGTTCTCCTCACCCCAAATTTCGTGCGTCGTTTTCCAAAGCAGCAATGCTTCTTATCTACAGTTATCTACCTATGCTTGATGACGGAACGGCTTTATTAAAATCCCAGGTGGGCGATGGATAGGCGGGCGGGCAGGCAGGCATGCGTTATCCTTTGTTTTTACTTACTTATCTTATATACCTGTTGAACATATTTGACCCCTTTCACATCAGAGGGATAGAGGTGCATAGTGTTGGGATCTGCTCTTTTGTCCTCTTCGCTTATCTATCATTGTGTGACGTGACGTGACGAATCCGTAATTGTGAGATCTCTCTCTCAACTACGGATACACTTAGTATGTAACATCGGGTGGTGGTTGCCCTTGTCTGTATCCGTACATCACCCAATCGTGGGATGCCGGATCGACAAACGCAACTCGTACTTTTTTTGTTTTTTTGACTGACTCGCGAATCTTTCGGTGTCTGGCCTGGCCCGTACCGCTTGCTGCGCGAGTAGGGGGCGGATGGATGGATGGATGGATGGATGGGGTTTTTGATGCGGGGAGGTACGTCATTCCAGCAAGGGAGTTATTCTCGATGATCATTTGGAGTCGTTTCATTTTTTGAGTGAGTCGAGGCAAGTACATACGTAGAGGGAGTTGGAGTAGGTATTCCCAGACTTGGAGTAGCAAAGAAAAAAAGTTACCGTCGGAGGTCCCAGGACGGAGGAGACGGATGGGCAAAGGAGGAGGAGGAGGAGGAGGAGGAGGGAAAGGAGGGGTGGGTTGCGCTCCGCCAAGGATCACGGGAGCTTGGCTCCCCCCTCCCTCTCGTGTTGATGTTCCGCTGTACCGATACCGTAGCCTAGCGTGTCCTGGTTGGCTAGTGTTTCCGTTCCCCTGCGATTTTCTCTTGGTAGATGGCAACGAAACCCATAACGGGCTTCGAAAATAGAAAGAATGGTGGCTTCGGATTGACAATTGCTTGGGGAAGTAGCAGGCACATATGGATCTGGTGTATGGTTGTATCACACCATCTGAGTGGTCTGATTTGTCCTCATATAGAAACAGAACTACTCGCCATCATTCTACACATGCTGACACGGGGGAACTAATTTGAGAAGTGCGACCAAGATGTGAATTAAGTAGAAATTGTATTTGGCAAAGACTTGCTAAACCGCCAGATTGATATATCAGACATCTAGTTTCTCGGTTGCCAATGTCGCTCTCTCATAGTGACATTCGAACAATCATCAGTGGGTGTTGAACAACGAGGCCGTGGCCTAGTCATTAACACTTTTCTCCCTATGTAAATATAACGCCGGCAATGCAAAATGAAAATCATCCGCCAAGCTGGTCATCTCCCTGCTCCGTAGGAAACTTTGCTCCGCGAAAAGACATAGGAAATAATTCGTACATTGAACCCTGTACCGGTTCTTGGAATAGGTGGATGGATGGGTGATAAGTCGGGTGACGCTTTTGGAAATGTTTACTTCTGCTCGGAAGCCTTGCGGGCGGCGATGCGGCGCTCCTCGGCAGCAACCATATCTGTTTGATAGAATGTCAGTAAAGAGCTCCGGTAGCAAGAGTGGGGGGATCAGCTGATCACCCGCTCGGAGAGATAGGTTTGGGAGAATGACAACGTACCCTTCCACAAGTCCTGACCCTCGTACTCCTCCTTGTGAATCTTCTTCTCAATGAGGTGCTTGTGCTCCGGGTCCTCGGGATCGATAATCATAACCGTCTCCCAGCGGCCGGCGCCCGTCTTGGCGTCCTGCATCTCAAAGGCGGCGGTCACGACGAGCATGACGACGGCGAGGGCCTGCGCGTAGACACGGGCCTGGACGAGCTTCTGCGCGCCGGTGAGGTACTTGTCCTTGCCGACGATGGCGAGGGCGACGCCCATGGACGCGAGCCACGACGCAAAGACGATGGAGTACCGGTTCTCGCGGCCCCACTCCTTGAGCTTCTGCATCTCCGTCTCGTTGGCCTTGGCCTCGGCGATGGCGCGCGCCGTCGCGTCCTTGTAGCCGTACATGGGGTCCTTTTCCTTGCCGTAGCGGATGGACTCGCGGTCGGCGTGGACGATGGCGCCAAAGGTCGCGGACGAGGTGACGAGGAAGGAGCGGAAGGGGAGGGTGAGCTGGCGGAAGGACGGGTATCGCTTGCTTGCGAAGAGGACGCCGCCGAGACCGACGGCCAGACCGGCCGTGCCGCCGATGAGGCCGGCCTTGACGACGACGCTGTAGTGCTCTGCCTCCTCTTCTTTGCTGAGGACCTTCATGATTGCGGTTTGTGCGGGGTGGTTGTGGTGTGTAAAGTGGTGTGGACCTTTCGGATCGTAGAGGGGGGAACGGGTGTTTGTTCCTCAATAAGGGGAAAAAGAATTGAAGCTGCAAAAAGAGTTGTTTAGGTGCGCAGCCTGGTAAGTTTTGGTGTTGTCGGGATCTGAGCCGGCGATGGTGGTCGTGGGGATACTGGTGTCGTAATTACGTGGTGGTTGGTGACGGATGGATGACGGATCGGGATTCGAAGCTACCTTTGCTCGTTTTCGCCAAGGTCAATGGAATGGTCTCAGTGAATTGCGGTCTTGAAAGCTTTGATGGTTGTTTCTGTGCAGCTGAAAATAGTGAGGCTGAAGAAGAGTGTCAATGGCCTTATATCCAATGAATGGAATTGTCAAAGGTGATGACAGATGCAGACGGCGATTGAAAACCTGGTGGACGGGACGCCGCGTGGGCGAAAAAAGCTCTCATGGGACCCAGAATCGTGCCATGAGGTCGTCGCTACGGCATGATGTAATGGACCCTTGTTGCCCGGTCTTTGCCGTCCCGCAAGTGCTGGCCCTGCTCTCAGTAACGCCTCGCGGCACCGCAAAGCGGCTGTTCAGCGGCCGGGCTCGCTCTCTCAGTCTAAGGTAGAGCCCTCCGCGGAATCACCCACCTCTGCAAACACCGAGAAATTTCCGCAGTGGCTGAGTAAGCCCAGAGAGAACAATTTCATCTCTTCTGATTGGCTGTCACCTCCCTCAGAGACACAAAAACCGGACGAGGCGCCGCACATTGCCATCGGTCGTCAGTCTGACCACTTTGCCAGAGAGTTCCCTATTTTCGCCGTTTGCTCGAGGTTCCAGTAAATTATGGGATTTCAAACGCCGAACGCCTTGTCCCCCCCGAGTCTTCAGGCAGACTGCTGCAGTGGAAATACTCGCGTATCGGGGATCATTCAGCTGCGGACCTGGAGATCGCCGACTTATGTCCACTGCTGTTCTGATGACGGGAACGCCGCTCTCGGGTTGGGTCAACTCTCTCTCCGCGTTGGTCGGGCCTGAGCGCCCGGCAAGAAATGCTGCCTTTCAAGTCCATCGAATCCGACCTGCCGAGGGCGACCTCCTTTGACAGCAAAGTCTCCCCGTAAAACGGCCCCTTTTACTCACCGGCCGCGCCCGAACGCTCAGCCCGGTGCCCCATAATATCCGCGTACGCACATGCCGTTGGACGCGAATAAGCAAGGTACGAATACTCGCCAGATGCTCTCTGTAAGGATGGGAGTGGTCTGATATTGGTAATCTGCATTTCTGGCACCACTCTCAGTCGCCTATACCATTTTGCCATTCTCCTTTCTTTGATTTGTGCGCTAGCCAGGCGCATGCGGCAAAGAGGATTTTGTAATTGCAATACCAGAGTGCGCATGAAGGGTTGATCCGAAGTCGCCCTAGAAATAATTTGTCGTGGCTGTTGTTGTTTCTTCCCAGCCCTTGACCGCCCTGCAATGGCTATGAGTTGTTCTCATCTCGCAAGTGGGGGCTCAGGGTCCAGCCATGTTGAACGACGCTTCGCAACAACTAGGAAAGCATCTAGCAAGATGTCAGCTGGTCACCAAGCCCATGCATTGCCTCTTGCTTCATACTGGTGCTAGGTAGCAAAAGGAATCGCATATATGTGTTTGTCAGTCCATTCCCGCGCCGTGTTGGGCGTCTTCCCTGCAAAGCGCGGCGCTTGGAGATGCCTGGGAAAAGTGCGTGATGTTTCTGAGCAAGCTTCGCAGATTCGCAAGACCGGCCTGAAGCGAATGTTCAGCGCAGAAAGTGTCAAACAACACATCTTGGCGGTGTGTGGACGAGCATACAGAGGCGGTGAGTAGAAACTCATCTCATGGCTGCGTCAAACCGGCAAAACCCAAACCCTTTCCAGCGTGGTAGTGGTGGTGCCGTTGGTGCATTGGCGCGAGAATATAGGAGGCCAAATTTCCGTAGTTTAACTCTCGTCGAGTTTCGGGTGCTCTTCTGTTTCAAAGCTTCGAGAGATACTCAGGGTCCAAGTCATGCAGTCCACCAATATCCACATGCAACAGAGCTTCCGCCCCGATTCAGGGTCCTCGCTATTATGCGTTGCATACAGAGTACAGATGCGCCCCGTAATTCTCACCGCTGGTTGTGTGATGAATTACTCCGTTGTAATACACAGTCTATGGATTCGTGTGTCATTATGGCAAACAAAATCACAGACCAGGTCAAGGTCTCCTACGTAGTAAATTAGTGAAGGCCCGTCCTCACGAGGTATTGATGAAAGGGACGGGGGCGATTCCCGTGCGCCTCATTCTTCAGCCCGAACCGTCTTCTAGAAACCTTCCATGATCCTTGCTAGGGTCAGGGTCCTCTGTGCGCTCCCGCCTGCCACGTTTGCCCTCAGTCCCCCGACAAAGCCCGAGTCACCGAGCGATTTGTAGCTTTTGGGCGTACGGAGGACGGATCTCCAAGGCTCGAAGCCACGGCAGCTGATCTGAGTCTAAATCGTTACTAGGCCTCAAGAGGCTGCTTCTTCCTTGTGGAAGGTTGTCTTCGCTGGTGTAGGTAGGCATTCGTCTCGTGCGCCCCTTTAGCACCTACATTCCCAATGTTGTCCGTCATCCACAGCGTTACTTCATTCGTATGGTCGTCCGAACTGATGGCTCTGGGCCTCCTCTAGTCTGAATCATGCCTCATGCATGCATCATGGACTGTCGTTGTGCGGAGGCTGTTTGAGGGCAACCCCTTGTGGCATTGGGCCTACTTCGGCAATGTCCTCTCTAACTAACACCACGTCTAGGCTTCATCCTGGGCGAGTCCGGTCCGAAGCTCTCAGATCGGCTGCCGCCGAGTCATTCGCTTGAAGCGAACACGGCGTTGAAGACATTACGTACCTGTCCAGAATAATTCGGACTAAGCGCCACGTAGTGCGTATAAGCACTGGAGTTGCTAAGCTAGACATCTCTTTTCGCTTTACCTGTATGTCGAGAACAACCAAGAATGATTGGTAATAAACGTTGAAGCCAGATACCTTCTCGGTCATCCGAAAACAGACTCTGCGAGTAGCTCCTGTGAGGGTATGTCCGCAATCCAACGCCCTTCGCAATTGAGGAGTTCATGGGCGGCCAATATTGCTGTTGGATTTTGCAGCGTTACGCTAGAATCTAGGGCTTCTCAAATAAGATTTGTGGTTTGTGATGACTGAGGGACTACGGATATGCAGCCAGAGAGTCAAGGAGCCACAAGGCTCAATAGCAATAAGGCACGGAACCTGCAATAATCTCCTACCCGAGGGAGGAAATATCGGCTCGTGTGCAGAACCATGTGTATCCACAGGTGGGCCGGTGAAGAGTGATGGACAGCCGACCATGCAGTATCGAGATTGCGGCATTTCAGGCGTTACCCCGCTACGGTTCCTGGCATTAACATATTGCCATCTGGGTGGACGGACGAACGGTGGACAAACGCTGACGTTACCGTAGCCGTCTCCGCGATCTCGGCCGGGTCGTGTAACATGAGGAGTGTTCGGGACTCCGTGCCTGCGGGGTGAAGTGTGGGTGGTGGTGTCACGCCGGATCTTGGATTGCTCCTTCAACAGTTGGCTGGGTCGGCGGGGAGACAATTGTGGCAAGCCGGTTTTGATGAGCAAGATCGGCGAGGGAAATCGTACAATATGATGCTTCTGGCCACGGCCATCACATGCAGTACGTAGGTCAACGGCGGGTCATACCATCGAGAGTGCAGCCTAGGTAGGAGTGAAGTGGATGGGTTCGAGATCGAGGTGTAAACCCGAGATCGTACAGAGATCCGGTAGCTTGCGGCCACGCTTCGAAGCCCATGTGCACCTCATCTGGTGGGAGAGAGATGACAAGCGAGTCAATCCCCTGGAGATCTACGGCTCTTTTGGTCCACTGCCCTGGACCACGTTGCCTGTCGAACCACAGTCTGGGGGTGAAAACATGGCAGAAAAGTTGGTACAGCGCTTTGCCAATTCAAGCTGTATCTCACTGAGATGAAGGTTGCGGCGAGCCCCAGCAAGGGGGAAAGGTTATTCCAAAGTTTTTGGGATGAGGAAATGATGCATCGAGTATTACGGGGCACCGTTTGCGGCGGTACTTTGGTTTTGAGAACTTGGGATATCATTCGGTGTACGCAGTATGCGTTTGCTGTTTCTCGCTAGGCGCGGCTGCGGACAAAGTCGATCTTTTCCAACTTGTAAGTTGTCCGTGGCTTCCTCTACCTGCAACTCGTTCATCAGTCTGCAGGCGAAATGAAAAGCCTCGGTCTTCTCAAACGCGCCCATGTTCTGTGCTTGATGAGCCAGGGAGTATGTGTATCTGTTCGGAATTGCTGTAGATCGTGGGCGGTCGTCTGCCATGGTAGGTAAAGTGTCCGTGAGAAACGTCCCACACCGCCTTTCCTCCCAAGAGCGAGGTGTCCGTAGTGACGATGGGTTGCTCGTTACAAACGGTCCTCCCCTCTGAGACAGGTCAGAAATGTCGGCGAAATTGGGATCCAGGCATGCGGCGCTAAAGAGCGGTGTTCGTAGGCGGCTTTGGGGTTTGCCAGCCTCTGCTTCCGCCAGCCAGCCAAGGATACCTAGGAGCCATGTCCCTGAGTAGCAAAGTGTCAAGTGCCTCGCGCAGCCCACCCATGCGACGGTGAATTCATCCGGAGCGGGAGCGAATTCTGGGAAAAGGCAGCAGGGTGTGCACGGCGAACGTTAGGCTCGTTTTAGTTGTTGCGGCTAGCAAGGATATCGTAGCGAGGCACAGACCTGGCGCCCCTACGCTGGACTTGGCTGCGTCTTTGGCCTTGGGGGTGCCATTGTCGAAACTGTCATTCGTCGGATCTGGAGTGGACCGGCGTCGGTGGTGGGGTGTTGCTTTTGTTCCGCTTCTGCATGTATTCGCTGCACCGTGTTCCCATTCCCAGCCGTGCCAGCGTGCCATTGCCTCCACCATGAGGTAAACGTCGTGGGTAAGGCACCCAGCCCAGGACCCCGAAAGCAAACATGCAAGTATTGTAAGACCTGACCGCCTTCCTTGCTGCTGGCCCAGAGGTTACAGAGCTGAGAGAGACCCTGTTTCTGCCACTTTCTTTTGCGACGTTCCCACAGACTTCTTAGGAATTTCCATGGATGTCACTTTGAGCTCGCTTTGCGTTCCCTGAGTGCTTGACCGTCGTCATATGCGTAGAAAGCGAAGCAGGAAGCAGGCATCGTCCGAGGCGCATCTCCTCTCCCTCCATCTCTATCCTGCTGTGTGCACTGTGCAGTGACAGATAGGGATCGTATCTAGAATCTACTTACTAGAGGGGTTTGCTGGAGTGGTAGTGGTTGGCACACCGAGGATTCGGAACCCCTTCCGTAGCCTCCTACCTTCTTTCTGTCTAAATTAGTAATATGCTGTTGACTCGGCCGCTTCGGAAAGCCATGCAGCATTCTGCCTCGCTTTTCTTCTCGCTCGTCTTCTCAGCCAAGGACACTTTTCGTTCAGCAACAGTTTTGTATCTCGTCTTTGTTGTTGTAGACGGTCAATCACCGAGGACGGGTAGCGGCCGATGAGTGCAGGAGACTTTGACATGGAGCATGGGGTGGCCAAGCAGGCCTGTCCCCGACACTAAATGTCTGGCTATGAGTCAAGCATGGCAGCTTAGAGGCGGGTGTGCGGCAGCCCTGTCCAGTCATCTCGTGGCATCTCCATCCGTCGGTACCGTAGGATCCACCGCTACAGAATAATTCTGGGCAATTCGTGGCTCGCTGACGT